ACTTTTGTGTCGACTTGTGTCGACTTTGTCTCTTAAAAGGAAAACAGCCACTGTCGTACGTGTACTAGCTGTCATTGCGGTGACATGTTGTGTCTACTGACGGAATATGTTAAAATAAAAATAATAGCGTGCGCGTATCTGTGATGTGCTAGTTAATATAAAATGTACATTTTTACAGCTTAGTGCATTTATAATGTGACATAAGAGCTCGGTTCTCGTCAACGGTCATATCACGTTGAGTCGAATACCGGTTCTCGTCCGATCACCGAAGTCAAGCGACGTTGAGCACGGTTAGTACTTGGATGGGTGACCACCTGGGAACACCGTGTGCTGTTGGCACATCTCCTCTTTTTTAGTTTCCGTTATTTTAATTTTTTGTTAAAACAAAGTAAAGGTGTAGTAAGTGTTAAAACACAGTGTATCTTTTTCTTTTGTAATACTTCGGTTAAAAATAAGACAAGATATAGATATTTTACTATATTGGTCTTTAACATAATTCCTAGTATATAATTATGTTAATAAATAAAAGGCTAAACATTTTCTTGATGCAAATGAGGGATCATGATAGAAACATAATACAAATTTATTATATAATAATATTAGAAAAAACGCAGCTTTTCTCAGATTCTAAACGACTCCAACTTGACGTCTTGACGGTCGGAAACAAACTAAGTGACTGTTCTTGTTACAATCGTTCGCAACCGTCAACCAAGATACAAATTCATTGCCGATTCTGCCGAGCGGTCGCGCTTACATCGACGATATAAGTGACGATTTTATCAGAAATTTATGTATTCCGAAGTTAAAACTTGTAGCGTCAACTTTATAAGTTTGCAGCTGTTATCGATATTGTGCTATCAGACTTATCAAACAATTTACGTCAATTTCGATAAAATGTATTGCTAAACTTCTCGCGTAACGTCGTGTAGGTTTGGAATTTTTTGATGGAATAATTTTATGAATTTGTGCTTCGAAATTTCATCCTACGCTGTTTTGGGATATAAGTTTAATATTGTGTTTGTGACACTCCGGTAATATACTTTTATTAACATAAAAATATATAATAGTGCTTTACTAAATTCTTCCCAGAAACAAACTTCAGGTAAGTATTTTTACTCATGTAATCATTTGAGAAAATTCTCTCTCTCTCTTAGTTTCCATCTTTTCTTACTAATGTAAGAAAAATTTTTTCTCAAAAGCATGACTTTATATACGGAAAACAGCACTCGTCACGCTTTTTGCACAAAGTTCTTCCCACTGACTTGGCATTAGACACAAAAAAAGTAAGCGTTTGGGTCTATTTCCCGGTTAAAAAATACCCTCCATTCACAATGAATGTGGTCGTGCGATTCTCGAAGTTTTATATTGAATCTTGTTTCTAGCAAAGAATTAATTATCTTCAATAAGCGTCTTTGTGTGTGGAAATTGAATGTATGTAGGTCACATCAGACGTTCAAATGTGCTAACGCACTTCACAAGCTCTGCACTTTATTTATTGAAATTGGCTTTTTGAGGAAGCTAAGCATAAAAGCGCAACCATACATGCGCAATTCCGGTCAGTCCAATCTATATAAGTCTATGCAATTTACTATCATTGCAAAACCGAGTCTTTGTCTCACAAGGTCTGGTAATACAATAATACTACTTTCGCAATACTAGACGCGACAAGTGTAACACTAGATGCTGGCTATTACAGATAAGTGGTATCGTTTATGGTCAGTTTAATTAATAAAGCACAACTCTCCAAATACTTATCTCGGTTGCAATATCTTCTAACTGATAAGAGAAGTTAAAAATGTCGAATTATTGTACAATTATGTTACGTATAAGTAAACAGATTCAAGAATACATTTTATGTGTATATTTCTTTAACCATTATAAGCAATATTCTGCAATAACATCACTGATTGTTTGATATATATGTATTTTCCAGTCAGAAAAAGTTAATAATCTTTCGTTATAAATGAATTCTTTAAATACTTTTTGATGATATACCAGATGTATATTAAAATTATTAATGTATATTAAATATATAATTAATGTATATTTTAAAATTAGATCAAAAAGAACAAAATGCTTACAAAATAGATATTGCTAGAAATTATGCAATGTCAACAGTAAATTTTACTGATACAATTACATTAATAATAACTCTGGAAAAATACTAATTTTGAAAAAAGTAAAATTGCTTGTTTTTGCATCACGCGATTTGTACGTAATCCGTGTTCTATGCGCGAACGTTTTTTTTTTTTTGCTTTGTTTCACAGTAGTCATGCTGTATTAGTTTGCTGGAATGTACCACATAATATGTACATATATGTATGTGTGTATACATATGTATATTACTGCACAACTGAGTGAATATCGCCGAAGGTAGGCCGAAGGTAGTGCCGACCGTTTAGAATCTTCGGACATTCGTATATATCATGCATAATGTCAAAAAGTCAGGGCATAATCAGTTTAATACATCGTTATATTTGTAGCGGATGGCGATTAAATGTTTTTATGGGTGAACTGATATCGAACTCACCAGCGAGTAATATGCGTTTGACGTAAAGAGAATTACGAAATGATATAGTTTTGTGATAAATGCGCAATAACCTCGCACAATAACAAAGTATAGAATAATATACATATATAAATGCCATTAACTAACTTGAATAAATTTTATAAATACATTTTTTTATCAAATGCGTAGTCCACGAAAGTTTATTTTTTTTCGTGTGACAAAACAATTTACATTGAAATTAGTTGTGTTAAAACGTACCGTACTTTATTTGCATTACTTGTACGAGTAAATTAGACTGCTTCTAAAAAAATAGAATTTAACGTTAAGAATATATATTTATTTTTAGATAGTTTTTTTTAAACAACGTGTGTTGTAGTTTGCAATGCATCACGAAATTTATGAATATAGACAATAAATATAGAATTTGTGCACATGTTATTAGAGTTAACAAAGTAACATTACATTACAAAAATGTTAATGAGCGCGAAATTTTGTTTTCGTGCGGTTTAAGTTTTAAATTTTAACAATTTCATGAATTTATATACAACAAGATTATTTTCGTATTATTGACATTTAAAAAGATCTTATTTGCGTTCTAGCATTTGTAAAACCGATTTCCATAAATAACACTTGTTTTTGCAACGCACCAATTCCCGCGAAAGTGCACAATAATGCCGATCTTGAACTGTATACAATGCAATTTAACACTATTAACCAAAGACATGATTAATGACGCGAAACGACTGTTTAAAGTGCGACTGTACTTATAATGTTGGTTTTACGTAAGATTTTGCGTAGAAAAAAACAAGTGCACCGATACAACTATTATGAATATGTAGATTGTAAAGAAATAGTATTATTGGACACAAACTTGCGTATAAATAATAATATTGCATTTGTTCAATATTTCGTTTTTCTTGAACTACGTACAACGCATATAACGTTTTAAAACGCATTAGAGAACATAGAAAACGAACAATAAGTTAGAATGCTGAATATTTCTGAAAAATTTGCCACCTTATTAGCAATTTGTCGCTTCTTAATCTGCAATTTTAAGTATCTCGCTCACGCTGATTTTTTCTAACAGCTCGTTAGTAACGTTACTGGATTTTTCGAAGAACTGTGTTTACTTACGCAAAAGAACAATCGGATTAGTCGGCCAGAACAATTTTCATCCTTGAATTTGTTTTACAATTTTCCGTGCAAGAGTCAAATTAAGTACGCGATATATAAAAATGACAAACAGAATGAATTGTTTGTGTGATTAGAAAATTTATTGCCAACGACAACAGGAAGTTTACTTTCCTCGATCTTGAGGAAGTTCACACAGATGAAGAAGTTTCTCGAAGCTTGATCCCGTTCGGTAGGAAACCGTGGAGGGAGAAAGGGAGTCAAAGGTGGGAACTACAGATATCCGACAACGGTGCGTCATTCTTGAGAAAGGTGTGCAGTACACCGTAGATCACAGATTTGAACGGTAAAGATATTGGCGCCAGCAAGAGACGCTAACGCCGAAAGACATTTATAAATAAATTAGAAAAATAGCTACACGTGCTCTGAGAATAACAGAGATTTTGTTTACAAAGATCATTAAACGAAGATCTATTAATCGATCGATTGACTCGTCTTAAAAGTGACTGAAAAGGTGTACAATCGTTGAACTTCAAGTTTCTACAATTATTTATTGTTAGCGACGAGTTAGTGCTTAAATGACAATCTAAGTAATCATTCACTCGAGAACAAGAGCACTTTTGCTGAACGCGTGAGATATCGCGTGGTTATCTTTTAGCGGTGATCAAAGAAAGTTCTCGAAGTCCAAGTGACGTTAAATTCATTCTACAGACGCTCTAAAAGAAAGAAGAACTACAAGTTGAGAGAAGACAGTGTTGTTTGATACAGTGAAAAAGTAAGTAAGAAAAGCGAGAGAGAGTCAGAAAAAAGGAACAAATCAAATAAAAAAAGACATACATACACAAAAAGAGAGAGAGAGAGAAAAAAAAGAGAGGCAGAGAGGAAAGCTGATCTACGAGTTTGTCGACAACGAGAGATCGATTTAGCTGACGAGCACATGCTTTGTCTAGACTTGCAGGAGCGTGAAAAGGAGAGATAGGAAACTATTCGTTGAGCGAGAAGTGAGAGAGAAGAAAGACACAGATAAGAATAGGAAAACCATCGACAGAAATAAAAGAGAGCGAGAAAGGAATAAACAAGAGAGACGAGGAATTTCTGACCTGTTGTCAGAAAGATTCACGACCTTTTTCAAAATCAGTCTTCGAGATGGGTAAGAGCGGTTTGACAAGCTCGCACGTCGACAATACATTTGACGAGGAAGCTATCATAAAAAAAGCACGATGGCGCAATCTTATTGCTTTTTGGATTTTGGGACTATGCAACAACTACGGCTACGTCGTGATGTTGAGCGCTGCACACGACATCCTTCAGGACAAATTCGGTGACAATGTGAGTAATTACGATATACAAATATGTGCGCGATTATATGAGAAAGTTGAAGTCTAGAATTTAGAATGTAAAATAATAAATTAATCTTAAAGAAAAACATTAAAAATTCAAGCATGTTTTTTAGACACAAAATCTCACTTATTTTGTAGATGAACTCACCATAATGTTATTTGCTCCAGATAACAAACGTTCGTAAATCAGCATCAGTTTTATCTCGGTATATCTCATATCAGTTCATCCGAGCTTTATTTCTTCTATTTACAAAATACCAATATACTAATCACTTGCTATAAATTTCTAAGTGTTTTTTTGTAGTCTACAAATGCTGTTAATACAAAAATGATTAAAATTATTAATATTTTTTTTTATTTAAGAAAAACGTTATTTAATTAATTTGTACGTTTTTACTTAATTGATTTTATTGATTTAAATGTAGGAATAAAACTCTAACACATGGATCAAAATGTCAATTGACTATGATTAACATTGTGTGACGACTTGAATCGTTGATATTTTGTTTTGCTATTTGTGTCTCAATCTAATTCTTGTTTAATGTACTGGTTTAACGAGCAATTAAATGCTTGTAGAAATTCCATGGAAAATTTTTTAACGAATATATTTTATTAATAGATATCAACGCTGAGATATAAACACAATGCGTTTAGTCGATTCAATTAATCGATACAACTTGACACCAAGATATTAATAAGCATTCACATTGAAATTAACATTTCTACCTAACAACGAAATAATTCAAAGTGAACAAGGAAACCTGTCGCAATCAATTGAATTGTGTCAGCTGACTGGAATAATTACGCGAGAAAAACTGAGCTACTTATGTGATGTCGACTGAGAAATACGAGACTATAATATTGCACGATCAATTTCCTTCTGCTTTATGGTGCTTATTTTCGACGCATTACATAAACTATATTAGAGCATCGGAAATTAATCTGTACGTGCTACGAATAAAATGTTGTCATTATTTTTTTTTAATAATGTTGTTAAATAAAACAGAGTTTACGTACATTAAACTTAATAAAATCTATTAATAATGTATAGAACTTAAATTAATAATTATGATAATTTTTTATTTAAAACATTTACATTAACGAAAAATCTAATTTTTATAAGTTTAAATGAAAGATAAATTTGTCATATTGGATACAAATTTGTATTTTAAAAGACTTCAAATTTTACAGAGAATGTAAAAGAAATACTGTATATTAAGAATATTTTTTTATTTTTTATATATGTTTCTATGGAGACATAACACAGCTGAATAAAGCAAATGTTTTTCTGACTGTTTTTTTTTTTTTTTTTTTAGGAAAATGCGCTAAACACAACAGATCATACTAACGCGACCGCGCCGGGAATGCGCTCATGCAACACAATTTCGACCGGCGCGATACTTTTGGCGGATATCCTGCCGTCGTTAGCGATCAAGATCACGGCGCCATTTCTGCCATTTTTCGTGCAGTGAGTATCTACATTTTTTTCAATTTTCTTTTTCAGTTACGCGACGCTAAGAAGTGCATTCCTGCACATTCTAGCAATCTAGCGTTATTTTTAAATTATTTGTAGATTATTTTTAGATTGAAACCAGTAAGCACTGCAAATGTAATTGTTTGCAAAACAATTATGTTTTTTTATCGCGATAATTTTCTCGCAGTATTTAAAAAAATTATAACCTAAATTATAAAAATGATAAAAGTATAAACCTTTTTTTCTTCGAGATTGAGAATCTTATCTATATAAAACATCTGTAAGAACATTCTAAATATTTTACACAATAACGTTGATAACGTTTACCAAGGTAATTATCATATGGTAGCTTAATAAAGATAATGAAGTAATTATATCGATTAAATGATTTTGCGATGACGCACATAATTATGATACCTAATAAATAGTCACTTAATAATACATATAAAGCGTTGCACTTATACATATTTAAACGGCAATGTAACTTCAAAGAAGAATAATATCCGACGACATAAAAGAAATATATAAATTAATAAGAGCAAGATAATCAAATGTGAAATTTAACGTAAAATCTTTAACTGTACTGTCTCATCTTTTTGACATGTGTTTTTGTTTTGTTTTGTTGCATTAAAATTTCCGATACAAACGTCGCACGACGCAAGAACGTGTCGGAGCTCTGGACATCGCGTCTTTTCCGCGATTATGCAAGCGCGACTGGTCCCAATCGTCAGTCAAAACGCTAATCAATTAATTGACTCGTTAATTACAGTGCTCGACTGGCTACCTGTGTGTTATTTTCCGCTGCAGGATTCCTTCTGGTATCGTTAAGCACTATTGAATGGCTCGCCATTCTGGGAGTCGTTATTACATCGCTCTCTTCCGGTTTGGGTGAGGTTACTCTCCTCAGTTACAGTAATCAGTTTCCCAAGTAAGTGCAATATTATTTCTTACATATGTTCACAAAAATATAAATTACGCTTTTATCATTTTTCATTACGACAAAAATTGCATTTCTTGCAATGCGAGCAAAGTTTAACGGAAGTAATTTTTTACAAGATATACAGGCTGTTTTATAGATTTTTTGTGCAAATTTTTTTCTATAAAAGAAAACTTGATAATTTTAGAACATTGTGCATAAATTTCAGTGCCTCGTTAATTCTTTGGAAGCATCGAGGGAAATAGGAGTAAAGGGTAAAGGTAGATCACATAAAAAATTACTTAATGAAGCTCTTGGGGATAAATCCAAAATGTAAGCGAAGACCAATGTAGCTGTAAGCTAATGATAGACGTGGGTAATAACGAGAACAGTAATTATGCTGGAACGTTTCAACTGTTTAATTTTCTTATCATCTTCAGCTATCAATACGCATAAAAATGTCTGTATAGATAATAGAGATATCTATATAAGTAAGAGAAAATCGTTCTTATTATTATCCATTTCTAACTTTATTGGTGTTTGTTTAGATTTTGTATATAGATCATAAAGAACTTATCAGAAAGACAATGCTCGATATTAAGCGGCATTAAGCGATACTTCATGCGGAATCTGTTAATCTCTGTAAAATCTGATTTTTGTTCGTGTATTATATAACTTTGTTCGCGTATAATATTCACTTTGAGTTATTGACTTTATCGTGTTAAATCGAAACAGAGTTTCGATAAATAAATAGTTTTGATAGATATATATGTACGTAGTATAATCATACTTTGTAGATAATTGGCACAAAATAATGTAATCACTAACTACAGGTCTTTCAAGGAGACATTATACCTAATTAAAACGCACCTATTGTGTAGATTATTGTTTCGTCATTCTAGACAATGTGGAGGCGGAAGAGTCGCGTAATACGACCGCTCGTTATGTAATGTGTGTTTTTACCTCTGGATTATACTTTTTGAATGAAAGAATTTAAATATCAGGAAAACATATAAAGAAAACATTAAATACCACCGTCATATTATAATTTCAAATACCTTCATACAAAACATTATTTTAGTTTTATTATTTTTTTATATGTAGTTTTGTCATTGTTGGCTTTTGTTTGATTAACTTACGATAAGTTTGCTCACTGTTGTTAATTATTCTACAGAGATGTGATCTCAACATGGTCATCTGGTACAGGCGGCGCCGGAATAATTGGCGCCGCGTCCTACGCCGGTCTACACACAATACTATCTACTGGGAACACGTTGTTAATCATGCTAATCGTGCCGCTCTTGCAAGCGATCACGTTCTGGTGTGTCCTTAAACATCCGGCGCACGTCAAAGTCCCAATTACCAAGGACGGCATTGAAAGCCAAGAACATATTATCAAGATTCCAAAGAAGACCTTCAGAGACAAAATCAATCTGGTGCCAGGCTTGCTCAAGTACATGATACCGCTCGGCCTGGTTTATTTATTCGAATACTTCATCAATCAAGGCCTGGTAATCACATTTTATCACAAGTTTTAATTCTTAATTATTAGACGTACCTTTTTATACAATATAATTCTTAATTATTAGACGTATCTTTTTATACAATATAAACAATATAAAGTGTTAATCAGTGAGTTCATTTTTCATTGCTAATGTGAACAAACGTTTGCAGTACGAACTCATCAAGTTCGACGGCATTTGGTTGGATCACGACTCACAATACAGATGGCTACAGACGGATTATCAGATCGGTGTGTTCATCTCGAGATCGTCGGTGAACTTAATTACCTTTGACAATATTTGGATTATGTCGGTTTTGCAGGTAACGATACGAAGAATTAAGAAAAATTGAACAATAGTATAAATTATGGTGTTGACTTTTTCAGAAACTCCTTCTAATCCTTCTAAATTGATTTTTTTCAGTTCATCAACGTCATAATTCTCTTGTTCGAAGCCATTTACTATTATATACCGAACATATGGATCGTTTTTGCTTTGGTATTGTGGGAAGGTCTATTGGGTGGTGGCGCGTATGTCAATACTTTTTATCGAATGTCGACTGAGGTAATAAAACATTTTTTTAGTAAAACAGAAATAGATAAAAAATAATTTAAAAAATAAGTAAAATCTTCAATATGTTAAGTTTTCTTTTATTGAATTCGCAATTTAGTGCGACACATTTTCTGCAGTTTTCTCTAGTTTTTTATGTTTAAACTTAAAAAACTAACACTAAATTGTCTTTAACCATAGATTCCTAGAGCGGATCGCGAGGCTTCGTTAGGTATCACGACGATGGCGGATTCGATCGGTATCGCATTAGCCGGATGGTTGTCTATGCCGGTACACAACGCTATATGCAAACTACCGCATCCAACACGACTCAACAGCTAAATATATCACAAGGTATATAGCTCGTCAATCAAGTGATATATTTGGTTGGAGTTTCTACTTACGGAAACTTTAATTTTTGAAAGTTTCTCGACGCGGATACAGCCGTTTAGAGGCATAGATACTCCACTTGTATCATCTAAGTATTTAGCAATAGTAGATTTAAACGTTAAATGTATCTATTGAAGTTTTATATGTGTGATTATAACCAGACATGGTTATCACAGAAAAAGAGCTAATGTAATAAGAGGCTTTCTGCAGTAACGAGTAAAAAATTCGATTGTTTTTGCATTTTCCTAATGTTTAGGATCTCAAAAATAAGTTCCTAAAATATTTTGTTGAAATTCGTAAAAGTATCGAAGATATTTTTGCTGATTAAAAATGTTTGCGATTCATAATATAATGCACTTTTAGCAGGATTTATTACAAACGAGCTTTATTTGATACAAACGTTAAAAAGACTAGGAACAGAGCATATTGCAACACACATGTTACAAATACTTATATGTATATATATCTAATAATTAATATATTACAACCCAGAGGTACATGAAAATTAGTTGCGTTTCCGTTGCAAAATAAAGAAAGAGTAAAACTAGGATCATTTAAATCGATAAAATTGCCACTAATATGCAATTTAACCAAAGTACTTTTAAGATAGTGCCTTTAGAGTCTGTTACATTATTGTACATACTCCATTACATCCACACGTACACACATACATACACATGTATAATGTAGGCCTATTTATTTTAAAATATTGTGCATCTAAAATTATACTGGTAGCAGATATCTTTCTTTGACAATGTGTATCTAGTTTTTCTTGTACTCTGTAAATTTTCTTTTGATACCGTGATAAATTTTGTAATTATTTGTTATTTTATTTTTACAGTATTACTATATTTCCGATTTATACAGGTGCGAAACGAGATACATTAGTATTTTTCGTGTGTGTTTCTAAAATTTTGTATCCTATCGAGTAGCGATTGTTCGATACTCCAAATCTGTTTCAGTATTAATAGTTAAAGGTAACGATAGACAAATTTTATTTGTAATAACACTTTTGGAGTACATTATTCGCTCATCTGTGATGAGATATCTATAAAAATTATTATTTCGAACTATCACATTTCTACTCTAATACATATTTGTGATCCGTGTATCGTTTTTAATGAAAATATTGATTATTATGACAATGATTATAAATATTAATAAAACGATTAAACATCGCAAGATAGAGAATATTTTTCTATATATATATATATATAGTTTTTAAAATGTTTTTACTGTATTTGTATGTGACAATTTTATTACAAGATTTATGATAAAATATAAGAGAGTAAATAAATATAGCGTCTTCTCTTTTCCTTTTTTTGAAAAAATAATAATCTTGAGCGATATATTAATCAGAGTTGATTATGCATAAAAATTTGAGTTGATGCTCTTTTGAACTGTCACATTCTTGTACGTTTAGCAATTTTCTCATTAGTGCTTAAGCACCATTACTTTTTACATCAAAATACAGTCTTTTAATGATAACAAAATTCGCACGCGATAAAACCGATACCAATTTCTGTATTCAACAGGATGTAAATAGTGAATACATGTGGTGCTCTAGTGATATTATACTTACTACATTTATTTAGTGATCGCTTTTCGAGGATAACGTATAGCAAATATAGGTTTGTAATGTAGTTTAACGTACACTTATATTGTCTCTCGATGTAAAGCGAGTATATTCTGTTTGCAGCGAAATAAAAATCTAATATGACAACCTGTTTCGATAGTTTATGTTGTATCTATTTATGTTTATTTTTATATATATATGGACTTCTTTTTAATGGCAAGTGGTTTTTTTTTCTAAAATACGATGGAAGATTCTTGAAGTGATTAGGAACTGTGTATCCTTGTAAGCTGTTTGTTACGTTTATGTGCCTATTTAACATTGACATCTAAGCGAGTTGTCGATCAAATATTTGCTCGCGACATATGCGAGTTACACAAAATGTTGCTGATCAATGCTATTCACAATCACAATGAGTTCCTCGGAAACACTGTGTTAATTTTTTGTATATAAAAAATTATTTTTCAAAATTTACACGAGAGAGCATGATTCGTCGTCTTATTAAAAAATGCTTTCGCACAGTAAAATTCTAAGCGTTTTTTAAAATGCGTTTGATGATTGTTGCTCAAAAGGACGGCTTTACGTCGCACCGTCATTATTAGAGCGGAGGGAGATGCAACAGTTAAAGATTTTAATGAGTGTTTTTAGCGAGAGTGAAAAAAGACATACAATTGTGCGTAACTTCGTCATACATTGTTTTAACCTTTGGATATACTCACTCTGTAAAAGATAAAAAATTTACAAAGAGTGTATATATAAAGAGTGTATAAATGAGTAAAAACTTTGAAAAACACCAAAATTTTATGTAGACTATTTACATAATTGTACATCTCTTTTATTTAAGCTGTTGTAACAGCTGTATAATGTCTTATGAAAAAGCAATAAGACAACTGATATTTAGCACAAACTAGCATCTCTCTCTCTCCACTTTCTTTACCTTACATCAGGTCTTACGTAACTCGTTTCTAATTCTCGCGTAAGACGTTTGATTGGTGTTTGCTATCGAACTGCTATGAAAAAACCGTTAAGCTAATTTTCTTTAATTACGCGCGTGATTATTATCTCGAACAAGACAAATATTGAGAAGATGCCGAATAAAGATATTTAAAAAACTAAGTTCCTAAACAATTTCTTCGTAAATTCGAGTCTTTCAAAACTCTTGATCGTATGTTTAAGAAACTATTTCTTAAATTTGAAATATATAAAATAGAGTTACAGAAAATAGTTTACAGTCGTTATACAAATATATAAAATAGAGTTCACAGTTAGCTGAGAATAGATCATCCGATTATTTTGTAAAAATTTTGTACCTTAGAAGAAGGATATCGTCATTTATTTAAAAACTTAAGCGCATCTTTCTAAGATAAGTTTACCGGATTCTTCGTATTCCTGACGTGACAGCCACATTTGTTGAAACGAGCCCAAGGAGCTGAGGATCGAGCCACCAATCCAAGCGCCAAAACGACGCTCGCTTGAGCTGTTTGCGCTAATTATTTTCAGTCTCATGCTCTGTAAACAGATTCATTTCTTTGCGATACATGAGAAACTTTTACGAAGATCGAGTTGTTTCTCAAATGACTTGGAATTAAATTTCAATATATAGTCAATATTTAAATTGCAAAAAAAGAAGGGATTTACCGGCGGGGTCTTGCTGGCTAGATCTCGATTCAGTCTTTCACTGAAACCTTGAAGACAGGAATTGCCGCCGGTCACCACGACGCTGCCGTATAAACTCTGCAATATAAACAATATCTTGACTAGATTCTGATAAAATTTAATTTTTTCAAATAATATAAATCTAAAAACTCAATTATAAAAATTGCAATTATTGTCAATAATCACTTGTCAAAGAAAGTTTGTATATCAGATGTGAAAATATTAATTTGCGAGAATACATACCGGTCTGATGTCCATATCGCACATTCCGACACTCGTGGTGACTAGAGGACCAACTCCCAAAATGCTCGCACCCACACCTTTCACGTTGCTAGGATCGAAAAGCGCTTCCGGTATCATGAGCCTTACAGAACCAAAGTCGTCATTGTAACCAGTTGGAAATTCATAATGTTTCATAGGCAAAGTATTCGCCACATCCTCGTCGTATGGACTGTCGGATACTTGCAAAACGTTCATCTGAAAATCCTGCAGTAACTCTCGTACCATGTAGCTTAGCCAGGAAGACGTTGGTTGCGGTCCTGGTCGTTTTGTCCAACGAGGTGGATCTCTTTCTCGTACTACATCTAAAAAAGCACACAAAACACTTGTTGAAAAGATAAATCTATTGTGTGTATGCGTCACAATTACTTTTATATTTCTTTACCTTTACTAGCAACAAGACAAGCCGGTACCAGTTCGATATCTTTTTCCTCGAAGAACTGTCTACATTGCATGGTGATGAAATCGCCACCCAGAGGACTTTTAACAATCCCTTGGGTGATGACGGAACCATCATGAACCGGTACCGCGCTAGTATGCGTGGCACCGCTGTCCACAACCATCGCCGTAGATCTGCCGTTAGCATAAGCGGCCAGCACGGCGTTTTTACAGATGTACATGGCCGGTACATTGAACTTCTCGAACATCAGCTCTAGTAACTTCTCACGCTTCAATCTTGTGTTCCAAGGACACTCGGTCATCAAGACCGGATGATGTTCGGCTAAGGCATGCAGTCGCTGCTTGTAAGTGTATTCGGTTAACCGCTCGAACATATCCCAGTCCTCGATCATGCCGTCTTTCATCAGGCTCACTATCTCCATATCTAAAACAAGATCAGATACAGAATATAGAAGGTTGAATAATAATTATCTTTGATAAAATATTCAAAATGTAATAAGTATACACATATACAAGACCAAATTCATCAATTTTATTCGAAATTATATAATTAATTGGCCACGTAAAAATACAGATTTACAATTAAAAAGCTTCTTAAAAAATAATAAACTTATATTATCTCACAAAAACATACAATACAATGTATTGTTATAACACACAAAATACAAAATAAAATAAAATATAAAATATGATAGATTATTTATTTTGACACATTTTGAGTGATATTATTTTATTAATACAATATAATGATACTGATCTATTTAATTAATAAACAAATATTTCTTTTATAACAAACCTTTCTTTCGCACTTGGATAGCCGTGACATCGATGTTGTAGTGCTTCCTGGTGACGTTGTTACAATCGACCCCAACGGGATCGGCGGGTTCCTCCCACACCCCGAAGGTCGTCGGGATCTCAGCTTTTGGCGTGTCCTCGCCGCCATATCCCACGCGGAGGCTCTGGTGTCCGACGTCGAAGATAATAGCACCTACCTCGTCTGGCGTAACAATCGGGAGTGACCATACGCGAGATTATCGAGCGTTATAAACGCTCCTCTTTCTAGCCAGGATAATAATGGAGCGCGGCCGTACTTACCACCACCGTAGACACCACCGCTCATAGTACCTGAAGGGAGAGGACTGGCGCATGCCCCGATGATCTCCACCCCCGTGACCTCCGCCTGCACACGCACATACCTATATACACATGTACGCACCCTCTGTGCGAACGGAGAGGACTGCGCGGTTGTTAGTCCTCTCGGAACTAATCGATCGCCGGTTGTGGCGAAGAGCGTGATTATAAGTTTGAACTTGTAAACTTAAAAAGTAAATGTAGAAAGAAAACTTTTTAAGAGATCTGAAGTTGAAGGTCAAATAGCGAGCATAAAATGGGTTTTTAATATAACAGATTTTTTTAAATTACATTAAGGCGCTCGGTTAACGCAAAAGCGAAACGTTTCAGCTCAAACTTGAGTCCATCATCAGTCGCAAATATTAAAGTAATTACAATAAAAATTAATTAACAATTCAAAAGAGGCCGCACATATTGTGAAAGATATCAAAGATAACTAAACAGGAAGAAGCGATGAAAAATTCGCATGCCTGGATCTCCATAAAATGCGCTCATATCTTGTTTGTCGAAAATTATAGTCCAGTAGATAAAAAAAACATAAAATAAAGGTTCAATAAGTAAAAAGAAGCCAGGAGCAACACAATCAAGAGAACACGAATATACAAAAATCATCAACTTTCGAGAGTGTAAGTCAACTTTTATACAGAGGACAAGAGGCAGCAGTTACAAACATGTCTTTTTTAATAAATCAAAACAAAGAAGGAAAGACGTTACATTAAAATACAGAGATCAGTCGTTTGTAAAACTTTCAGTCGTTTGTAATATTTCTAAAGAACCTTTTTTTTTTATATTAAAAATCCATTTTATGCTCGCTATTTGACCTTTTATTACTATTGTCAAACGAAAGGCAGTACGAGTAATATACAAGGTGACTGTGTATTGATTTTATTTGTTGCAAGATTTAATTCAGACGTTTCGATCTATTTCAGATCTTTATCAGTGAATGTCTGTTAACATTATTATACAAAAACAATTGCAGTAAATGATTATAAATTATTAAATATACAATAAAAGTAATGATCTCTCACCAATCAAATAGCTAAAACAGGAGTCATATCACCATCTTCAAAACAAGTCGTTTTAGATGTACACATGTTAGTAAATTCACAGTGATATGACTCTTGTTTTGGCTATTTGATTGGTGAGAGATCATTACTTTTATTGTATATTTAATAATTTATAATCATTTACTGGAATTGTTTTTTTGTATACTAATGTTAACAGATATTCACTGATAAAGATCTGAAATAGATCGAAACTGAATTAAATCTTGCAACAAATCAAGTCAATACACGATCACCTTGTATATTACTGCCTTTCGTTTGACAATTAATTTTCGACGAGTAACAATTTATTATTTTATTACTATTGTTGTATATACAATACGAGCGTATCTGTTAATTTTATCTGAAGTTGAATTTATTTTTATTTTGTGTGAAAAATAAACTAAAATCTTAACAAAAACAAAATAGAATAATATATTTTTTTAATCACGATTTGCGTAAATATCTTTATATATTTAATAATTAAAGAGGAAAAACGTCAAATAAAAAAACGGACGGGTGACAAGATACAAACAAGCTCAAGAGACAAGCGGAATTTCCAATATGGAATTAGTATTGTATATTTTACAAAGTAAATCGAATATAAACAATCTAAAGTCGTCTAAAACACAATAGTACGAATTTTGTGGTAAATCATTTTTTGTGTGTGTCGTAAAGATAGACGATATATCATTAACAGGACGACCGCTTCCCTCGCACGTATGACTTGAGAGTCGAAATAACACGGAGCGGTACGGAACACTGCGGCAGTTGATTGAAAAAATGATCAATCACCCGGCCGAGAGTGATACGACAATCCAATCAATCAACCAACAGGATAATCCGTCAGTAATACACGCTAAACTGATTCGATGACAACTTATATTATCACGGAGGCTGCGCGCACGCGCGCGCGCGCGTTTCGCAGTGACAACGACACTCGAGCAGTAACTTCTTTCTCTCTTCGTGTCTCTCATTAATTTCTCACATCGTCATTATCAACTTCGGGGTCCGTCGATCGTTAATCGACGCACGCTGACACTATGTCGTCTTATATATGTCTTCTTTTTTTCTTATTCTTTAGTTTTGCTTTCATCTGACAGGAAGGCGGCTGGGACTTGAATATGTGTGCGTGTAATGTTTTTCTTTTGAGCGAGGTACAGTGGGATATAACAATAGTGTACAGTAGTAATAGACAGCTTACAGACATTATGTTCTTTGTTGTTACGTTTATACTATCTGATAACACATTTGTTTACTAAGACTAGGTTTATGCTTGACATTTATCGCATAATAATCCCTGTTTAACAACATCTATTCAACGTTTTTTTTTTTTCCATAATAACTATTCAGCCTTACGACAAAAGTATCATGCGGCAAATGTCAGATGTAAACCTGCTACAATGCTTTGTCAGTCTCTCAGTATGTAAGATGAAACGACGAACGACGATCCGGCTCTACTGCATTATTTTTCGTTTCGCTCAAACATGCAACACTTTTTTGTGAAAGAGAAAAAGGATCAATGATGTGTGCCGAACGACTTTTGACTGTGCGATGAACGAATATTCAATGATTCGAATGATTGTGGAAGACAAGGGAAACGCTCGGAAGTCGCGTATTGCTCGCTTCGATATGCACATATAGTAGTAAGTGTCTTCACCGTATTTGGAGAACGGTTCGCGGGTATCTCGATTAATTTTAATTGTAAATTGTTTTTCACAGTCGTTGGTCGCTTCGTAATAGAACAAGATGGCAGTTACCATTAGATTTTTACAGCCTTTGCGCGCGTTTGCGCGTTATACTTTTGCTATCGTAATAATAATTAAAGGAGTGTATCGTGTGTATGTACGCGTGCACGTGTGTACGTGTTATGTACTTTGGCATCTGTGGCAAGTAATAATACATTGCCGGAGGGAAGAAATCTGAGGTGGATATAGATCACGCGCACATAGCGCCGCCATTTTAACTAACTAGGATTATTACACGGAGTGGAACAAACGTGGCAGTTTACGAATCGATACCGTGTTTCTGCCACAATATAGAACAAACAACAATGCAGCTCGACCTGTTCCGCTCAACTTACACTCGGACAATGCGAGATAAATTTCGAGATGAGCGCCGATCTCGTACCGCGGCGGCGATCGTTGCTCTGCAAGCGGAACCAAATGGCGGCTCATAGTCTCTCGTTAAACTTAACGTTACAATCACTCTGCCATGGTATGTTCTCGATCGTTTATCTAATCGTATTACATCCTAAGTACTTAAATTGATTTAAGGAATAATCTCAATGTATTGGTTTTTCGCAGAAAACCGAAAAACGCCCGTGATGGCAGTTTACAAGATATATCGTCTGATAGACATCTCAAAAATTGGCAATTTCTTATCGATGTAGGCCAGGAGCAGGACGAAGTAGCACGTCGAATTATTGTAATTCTTACAAATGGCTGACGATGCGCCAATCCGAATTAACGAAACGACGGACCGCGGCACTCGCATAAATTTTTGCGTGATGATTTTTTCCTTATTTTATCTTTTTTTTTCTTATTATTTTTTTGTAACTTTATGACGGGGTTTTTTTTTGCATGCGCATCTCGGAAGCTTTTACACGTATTTACACCGCGATTACGAAGTCACGGACGTTTCGTTGGCTGGTGTGACCGCGATCGAGATCGCACTCGGCCTCGCTTAGCTCAAACGCGTCGGAGAAACCCGAGGGTGGGTCCAGCTTGGGGACGAACAGGTTGTTTCCTGATCCGTCACGCTCCTGGTCCCGATTGGCACAGGAATTGCTCGACTGGTGCTTGGGATGGCCAAGCCCGGCGATTGGCCCGAAGTTGGCACGGGCCTCCTCGGTATGACGCGCCAGCTGTAACATCCTGAATGCAAAAAGATTTGTTTGTTATAATTTGCAGAATTGACGTAAAAATAATTAAATAAAAAAAATTAAATAAAATAATTGAACTTACTTGGGTCTTCCCCTTCCAGGAAACGATTTTCTCTCAAAAATCGGTGAGGGTTCTGTAGACGTGCTAGATTCTGGTCCATGGTACAGGAAGTCTGCAAGTAAACGTTCTATCATTGTTCCCTTGAATTCTTTATTCTTGACTCGCCCAACATAAATAATTAATTACAGTTTGCACTTGTTATCTCACAATGAGCACCTCGTCTATATTGCGCTGCGCATAACAACTTCATACAACAGGCAAGACTGCAACCAAGAAAGCTAAATATGTCACACATTTTGTCAGAAAAACATCAATTTTCCATGCTCGCGATATATCGAAGAGAACGAAAATGTCGAAAGTTGAAAGCAGAGAGGGGCGTAGCCAGGATCTTTGAAAATCTTGACTTCAATTTCTAACGAGGATTCATCGAACAAAAAAAAAAGAAGCACAACTTTCGCTCTATAGATTCAGAAGCTTTTCGCATTCCTATTGCTACACTCCTCTTGAAGAGAACAGAGACAAAAAGAGAGAGAAAGAGGTGAAAATGCATACTGTGGACGCGCGAGTCGGCCGCAGATGCCGAGTGGTGCGAATCGACGAGGTGATTGGAAGACTCGGTTCGGCTGCTGGTCCCGACTTCCGTGTCGCTGTCCGAGCCCAGGGTGTCGTACTCTTCCGACTCGGACTTGCCCTGACTGACCTTGTGCGCTTTGTGCAACGGCGCAGAGGACGAACGGCCTCCGCGCATCTTAGTGTACCGGTTGCAATCCGACTGCAATCAGACGGAATTGATTTCCATGAGATAGCGCACGTCGCGTATCCTCGCCGCATCTCGATCCCTTAGACCGGATCGCACGACATGACGTTTCGACCTGACCGAATCAATATTTCATCTATTCGAAGAGAATGGACGTACATCACGCTAAAGCAAAACGTTCACCGCGGATTCATCAATATTACACAAAAACAGACAGATTGCGAATAATATAAAAATATTTGATAGAAAATTGTTTCAAAAAAATTTACACATTTCTCTCTGTTTATGAGAAAAAGTTAAAACTATTTTGCTTGTATAATAAACAATTTTTTTAATTTATAAAAGATTTTTTAATGTATATGTATTTTTTACATAATTCAAATTTAATTAAATCAATTCAAATTTATTATAAATCAAGATTCATTCAAGAATTGTTTCATGAGAAAGTATAAAAAAAATTTGTTTTTTTTTCTGCATGTAATAATTATTTAGAATGGCTTGTCGATCATTTGTTTGGCTTTCTACTTAATTATGATAACGTAATGAATTTTTGTCACCATCTCTACAGAAACTCTATTCTACTTCGAACTAGGAGCCACGGGAGCGATGCGATGAATCATGAAAGAAGTCTTATGCTACAGCTAGCATAGCTACGGCGAGATTCGGCGAGTGACTTATATGCGTAAATGGCGAACAGCGTTCGATTTCGATAGTTCTACTCTGTTCTATAGTTGATATATCGCAATTTCTCGATTTGCAAAACCTGTTCGGGAATGGCTGCGAAACGACGCGAGATGGGACCAGCAGTCATGTAACGCGATGTAGCGTTGAGTTTTAATCACGATTTTGTGTGGACTATCAAAAAAAAAAGAAAAAAAAATGTAATAAAACGATTTCAGAAGAATTTGCATGCGAATCAAAATTCACAATTATACGTTTTTTCGCATTGATCGCGCGCTAGACGAGAAACTCACACCGAACATGCGAGTGCGAGTTGCCTAAATATCCACACAGTGGATCTAAGCTAAGGATTCCGATTGCGCCGTGATTTTGGTGCGATGATCAAAGTGTACATGCGATTATCGTAGGTGTAACAAAGCCGGGAACATATGAGGATGAATGGTAAAAGCAATGAGAGAGATATAGGCTCATGCCCAACGTTTCTCGCTGCACGTTTGTCGCTGGTTTTGATTTTTCTCATCTATCTCAAATATAAGATTTTTAAAGAGAATAAAACAACATTCAAATCTTAAGATACGCAAAGATAAAAAAACGTGCGGCGAGAACGCGACTCTAATGACAGTAGATCGGCGAACGATACCTCTCGTAACTGAAGGGTATCGGCAGTGGAGAGACGAGGATCGTGATAGACAAAGGTCTGAAGAGGCGCGGCAGAATTGCAGCGGCTGTCGCCTCCTGCAGGAACGCTTTCCTCCAGCTGGAACGTGGCGTACGGGTAGATATCTTCCGAATATTCTACAAGCATGTTTAATGGCGATTCGTTAATAGTGGTTTCGGGCCGCAATCGTTTGCCCCTCACGCGAATTCGATTTCTTCGTAGAGCCTTATTCTCGCTTTTCTTATCGCTATCGGTCGTTTGTCGGATAGATAGGGCTCGATTATCGATCTCACCGGCGCGTCTTTCTATCTCACCTGGTATTTTCTCTAGCGTGGCCATCTCGTGTATCGGCGAACGTAGCGGCTTACGTACGGTGGCGTAATACTGTTCGCGCTGCTCCATATTCTGCTTATTGTCTAAAGCGGCTGCGGTTTGAGCGTCATGCAAGCTCCCGATGTCGCCCATAAACGGACCTGGCAATTATGGATTTTGTAACTTTGTTTGAAACAATACTTGACTGTTCGAAAAGTTCGCGAGCTTTTGAATTTCATTAAAAACGTCACGTACTTTTCGAACAATCTAATACATTTTTTCTTCAGACTGATACTCAAAACTTGATCAATTTTATCAATTTGTTTCTATTTTTGTGAAAAACTTCTTTTATTATTTATTTATAGTTTAAATTAAAATACACGTAAACTTACGTTTGCGGAAACAATAAAAGACAGCGCCAGCTGCGGCAATAACTGCGAATGAGCTCAACACCAGCGGCACGATGAGCTTCAAGTCCGCATACACGGAAGTATGCTGCGGGATGTAATGATCTATCTCGATGCTGGACATGGTCGTGCTGATATGTAGCTGTAATGTTGTTATCTTGTACTCGGCCACCGACGAACCGGCGTTATTGTGTGCTCTTATCCGGATATCATAAGTGGTCCCCGGCTGCAACTCGCTTAGAGTGTATGTTTTTTGTACCTGGACAAATATCGAATTTGTTCGATGTTACATGTGCGCCTCTGCGACCTAGTCTTTATAAATAAAATTGAGGGAAAATTATTTTTGATACCTCTATGTTATTCGAGACCAACGTCCAAATGCCCTCGCCGCTTTTCTTGTACTCCAGTTCAAAGAACGTTATGGGACATCCTCCGTCATTCCACATGCTGAGATGGAGGGTGATCCACGAGACGTTGACGGTGACGAACTTGTCGCCGGTACCGGGCGAGTCGTCCGGTTTCGAGCCTTTTGTGGTCGCTTTGACGATCTCGCTGGGTCTGCCCATGCCGATGCGATTGTACGCCGTCAGGTACATCTGATAATCGTTGCCGCACCAGAGTCGCGACAGCACGAAGCTGCTTACTTTGTGCGATACTTTAAATTCTTCCCACTCGCCGGACTCGCGCTTGTAATGAAGAATGTAGCCACGAATCGGCGAGCCACCGTCGTCACCGTTCTTCCACTGCACGTTGATCGAATTACTGCTGGTGCTGGTCGCATGCAATAATGGCGCCGCAGGTGGGACTGGGTAAGACAAATATTGGTTTAAGAATCGTGCTCTTGTGGCACATTTCGACACTATACGCGTTGTAAGCTTTCCGAGAAGAAGATATTTTTCGGAGTGTTTTATTTTTTATTTTATATTATTTGAGAAATTCTTTTATGCCGAAATCACACACAGAGCGCTACATAAGCTGTTTTTTACGAAGCAAAAGAGGGAAAAATACTCGTCTCTTTTCTCTTTCTCTTTCTTATTTTAATAGAAAACATACGTACGTGGCGTTCGGTATGTCTTCAGCATTGAATAATAAAAATTCACCTTGCACCGTTAAACGGTGAGTTATTTGATCGGAACCATGACGATTTTCTACGTAGCAAGTGTAATTTCCGCTATCCTCTCTGTGAAGATCGATAATCTGCAAGGATCCGTCCGGATGGAGGGACACCCGGGCGGATGGCTTGACTATCTGGCCCCACTGCTTCCAGATAACCGAGGGCTCGGGTTTGCCTACGCTCTGGCAAGGTAGTGTCACATCCTGCTTCCACGGTACAACAAGTACCGTGCCGAAAGAATATATGGCGGCGCGTACTGCAATAAAGCATCGAGAGTATTGTTACTCATCGTAAGAACGCGATGCGACTCACACAGGTAATCGCACTCGTCAGTTAAGTCAGCTAAATCTCGAAGACGAAGTCTCTCAAGTTTTGCCGAGACGATTAAGAAAAAAATAAAAAAAAGTGCGCATCTCATTAACAAGCATAAATAACGCTTAGCATCTCGTTTATCAGCTAACTGTAGACAATTCACTTAGTGCAAGAAACGGAAATGTTTGTTCAATGGGCAAATTAACGGCACTTTGAAATGCAACTTTCACGAACTAGTCCAACTAGCGAGAAGCAACTTCAGCAACTCGCAGTTCTATGACTAAGAGCGCAAAGCGCTGTATATTTTCCACTTGTTTGCGCGCTTTCGTACAATCTTCTGAATATATTACAAGTCTCTTGACACACTTATTGTGTTCGACTGCAAATAATTTTTAACATGTGCACAATCTTTATAATATATTTTGAGATGAAAAAATTAATAAAAAGTATGATCTCCGACAAGTTTTTCACGAGACTTTAAATAAAAAGTAATTTAACTTAATTTTGTACCTTCGCTGGAAGGCGAGACGGTGACAGATGGGGTCTTTGAACCTTCGCCAACTTTGGTTACCGCCGCGATGGAGAACTCGTATTGAGTTCTCTTGTGCAAGTTCTCAGCGTGATAGCTGGTTTCGTGAGGCGGCAGGGCAAAATGGTGCCAATCAAGTCCCACTCCGCGAATGTGCACATTGTAGTGGGTAATATTGCCGTTACTCTTAAGCGGCGGCTGCCACGAGACGATGATGGACGTGGCCGAGCTAGCTACAGCTTTGATGCCAGCCGGCACTTCCGGAAGGTCCTCGGCGGTCACGCAATAAAGCGGCGTCGAGGCGACACCGTCACCAGCTCTCGTGGATGCTAAGACCTGAACTGAATAATTTGTGAACTTATCCAGGCCGTGAATGGTACACGTTAAGGCAGGTGTAATCTTCACATCTGGCTTTGTGGACTCAGCCAGCGCGTCCGTGTTCTCCCACATGACCTTGTAGCCCTTCAAAATTCCATTCAGGCTGGAATCGGGCGGAGAATCCCAGGAGACTTGCAAGGACGTAGACGTAAGCGCCGTGCAGCGCACGTCCTGCGGAGGAGCGCTCGGGACTGAAAATAATTTACGATTTTGTTTAGAGAGGAAAAAAGAAAAGATTATATATTAAAACTTTTCTCATACACAGAGAAATTAATTTTAAAATAACTAAAAAATGACATCAAATATGTATGTATATATAGTCGTTATCCACAGATTTTATAGAATACATTTTCTTGTGACATCTAAGTTAGAAAATAATCTTATCCGGCTTCAATAAATAATCTTCGAGAAATGTAAACGATACTTGTAGAACGCATCGCATTTAAAAAACGTCGATGGCATATTAATGGGCGACGTGACTATAGATACGCGTCGAATATTTTAAAAACTCGAACTCGAGTGGAAAGCAAAAGGATCTAGAATGATGTTTGCCCACGCGATCGAAAATATCAGAGTACATTTGGAAAGTTTTGCCGGTTCTACCATCCGGCGGGGCAAGGATAAGATTAAAGAAGTTATTTGTGAGAGCGCGCGCGAGTGCCGCATCTGAATTTATTATTTATACAACCGGAAGTCATGCGCGCGGCGGCCTCAGCGCGTAGTTGCTATTCATGGCGGAATTCGTGATAGGCTCACGCGGGGAGGCGTGAATATTATTCTTTTCATGAATTTTTGATGGTCTTCGTCGAATCGCGATACGAAAATAGACACCTAGACGAAAACTCCGCTTCTCCATCGAACGTTTGACCTCGAACATCGATCGCGCTGAAAATATGTTAATTTTCTTCGCGCTCGAAATACACGTGTATTGATGAACGACTCGTCTTAGATATTCATGATCCAAAATAAGATCAAATCGTGATGCCACTAAATGAATAGCATTAACAAAAAAGTTAATATAGAATTTCTGAAAATAATTTCTGAGTTAGAAATTTATTAGTGTCATCGTTTTCTTTCATTTACTGACAATTTATGAACTTTTCTCAGCTCACTTCATCAAGAATAATCTGAACTGCTTTTTGGTAGGTGTTTTAGAAATTCTCCTACCACATCGCGAAAGCGTCAAATTTCAATATTGTTGAATATTTTTTGAATATCAATATGTGTGATAATGTACGCAAGATTATTAGAGATCAATTAAGTGTAACAAAAAAGAAATACAATATCAATTTTTCAAATTTTAACGTTGATTTTCTCAAACACTATTCTGCATACGAAAAACAATTTATTCTACATTTTTTATTTAGTTTCTTAAAGGTAATTAGCCTTTCCGGTTGTACCGGAATATAATTATTGCGCCATGCTGTATTGTATAGAATTATATATTTAATATTTAAAATAATTGTATCGACGCATATATCAGTTTGCATTTTAAATAATACGAGTTCTGTGGTTGTGTCACAACTATGTTTGCGCTATATTTGTGACAAGAATTTAACGATATGGAAATAGACATCGGTTTTCACAGTTGCTTACCATCTTCGAGTGTGGATGCCACAACTTCTGGCGTCATGGGACCGGGACCGAGAGCGTTGAACGCTTGAACGACTACGCTGTAACGTGTGAACTTCTTCAAGTTCGTTAAGTGGTGCTGTCGTCCGGGCATGGACGTTCTTGCGAGACCCAGTGCGACGCTCGCCGTCGAGATCCGTCTTTCCACGGTTTTATACGTGTACTGCTCCGCCCCTAACCTGAGTTTCGCGATAATATAGTGTTCGTTACATCTAGCCAGTGTGATTAATTAGTTTCGCCGGAAGGGTGTCAAGTGTCTCCTTTTAACCTTCAAGTTAGAGCAAAGTTCAATAGGTGAACTTAATGTTAGTGACGAAAAATAAAGTAAAGCTGACGTAGACATGTATTAATGACACATTTAAAAAAAAGCAACGACATGAATTTTAATATACTTTTGTAATTAAAAACAATACTTATGAAATAAATAAAATAAAAGATATATATATATGTACATTGATATCAATATTCGCAAATAGTTTGCGACAAACAGAACGCGCTGAAGCGATGTAACGAAATGCAATCTCAAAACACGAACAAAAAAATCTCGTAAAGTTTTTTTCAGGGATTTGTCAGCGTTGCCGCTGGCGAATAAATGACTGACCCCGAGATAGCTCGTCGTTTATTAATGGCGCGTGAATTCCGCGATATCAGCTCGGAAACCAAAATCCAGAAAGTTGAAGTTCCAACTGAGGCTGTGTGTGAATAGAAAAACGAACTTCTATCTGTTGGGAGCGCGTCGTTAAAATAACGGCGTTGTTTTCGGTCGTTACCTGTGTTCCTTGTAGCCAACGTGATAACCAAGTATCTCGCCGTTCCATAAATCATGATCGGGCGGATCCCAAGTGACATTGAACTCGGTAGAACTGATGGGGTCTACTTTAAGGTTTCGCGGCGGCCCACCCGGCTTCTCCCCTTCCGTGGTCGCTTCCAAAATCTAAAAATATTGAAAGAAATTTCTTTGCAACTCGTCTACGACGAGTATTTGTATTTGTTCATTTTCACTACTTTCACTGTGTGTAAAATATTCTTTTTTTGACAATTAAAAATTAAATGGTTTTTTCAAATCTATTTCAATATTTTCAATATGAATTCAAACTACAGAAGAGCCATAAAATTAAAATTAATAAAAACTCTTGTAAAGCTCACGTAGAATCAAAACTCATTCGAAAAATAGAAATTAAAAGCGAGAGAAGTCCGACATTCGTGTTTTTTTAATCTTTTAAAGAGATTTTATAAAGACAGAATAAATTCGACTAGACGCGCCCGACAGTTTTGTTTTCTTTTTTCTTTTTTTTTATTTTAAAACGTCGCGACTGCTTCTTTAAGCGCGAATTCCAGCGCCGCGGAAAAAAGCGCAGGAAGGTCCGATACGCTCGAAAGAGCAGCGCGATTTAAATCCAGGCCAACGATGCGGTCGCACATCCGTCAGAAGAGGCGACGGAGAGAGAGATTCGTTTCGGAGTGAGATAGAGTATCTCTTTTTTTTTTCCCGCACGCGGCGAATATCGATCCACCTCGCTGGCCGACACACACCGGTGTCCCAATTGTTTTAATTCTCGCGCGAGAACGTGAGCCGACTGGAGCAGGCAAAGTGGTGCTGGCGCTGAAACGAACGTCGACGGAAAACGCAAGAGAGATTTGACTTGTAAATGCCTTTGGCGCGCGATACCTACGTCGCTCGCTTGACTCCGACCCAGCTCGTTGTCCGCGTACATTCGGAACTGGTAAGTGACCGCAGGACGCAGGCCGCTCACGTGGCCGTGAGCACGTGTGCCCGGCACCGTCGTGTGGAACGTTGTGTGGTCGTGCCACACTTCTGCAATTAGGCGATTATTTTATGTAACTTTAAAAAACATGAAATAAATCCAAAAACGTGCGTGTTTCTTTGGTACTTAAGACCGACAGATGAGTATATTTTGTAATCAAAGTGTATTTGATTCGATTGCCCTAATAAAGTCGATTGCAAAATATGATTACGCTTACCCGATTCGGTTTTGTATTCGATTATGTACTGAGTTATCGGACTGTTTCCGTCTTGGCTGGTGGTCCAACCCAGATTGATGTGACGACTACCTTTCTCAATCACGTGAAGATTTCGTGGAAAGTCGGGAGGCTCTGCACCCAAACGAATACAATTTCATGATAAACTTTCCCGTAATAATTCACAAAATTTGATAACATTAAAGAAAATTATGTTAATCGTAAAAATGATATTAGTATAAATGATGATTGTAAAGAAGACTTTGAACACATTTGTAATATTTATCTATCGACTGTTAATGTACTTTTTATACATTTTATCTACTTATTTCCTAAAAGTTTAGGATTTATTTGCTACGATATATCACGAAAAATTTGACGTAATTTGACGTTATGCAATTCTCAAATCGTTTTAGTCATATTTGAGTCCGGTCGTGTCCTCTATTAAAATTCGCAGTGTGAAATTAGAGTTCGGTAATTAGTTGGAAATTTTCGCCTAATTCCGTCAGCGTCAGCGCGTCCGACGGAATAATTTTCAGTTACGGTACGATTGTTCACGTCCCCACGTTATGCATATTTCACGGGTTATCCGGCGCAATACGTCCGCTGGAAGCGTATCTCATTTTGGAGAACACGTAGAGAGCCGCGAGCTGCCGGCTCATCTGTCTCGCGGCGTGTGCGTACTTGCGCGAACGTACATTAAATTAAATGGACGCGAGCACGTTGTCGAGTATCTGTATACATTACGATAATTACATTCAAGCGGAATAGCGTTACGCACAAACATATGACTGACCAAAACTGCCGAAGGCATTCATTGTTATACAGCTCGCATTGCAATAACTCCATGTGTGCACACGACTGATAATATCCCCCCATTTCCGGGAAAAAAACAAGCAATTATAAACGTTCCGTTACAAGTTTTTTGTGTGTTTTTGTTATTATTTTTTGACACGCAGGTGTTTTCTAAAATTTTACTTATTTCTCGGAAATTCCTATAATTTGATATAAATAATTTATGATTTTTTTCTTAAAATCTCAACAACAAATGTTTATTAATAATAACTTCACGTACCTTGTATGTAAAGATGAATTGTCATTTCGTCGCGACCGTAACCGTTAGATGCGACGCAAAAGTATCTTCCGCTGTCTTCGCGACTGGTACTGACGAAGCTGAGAATACTAACGGCACCATCTGTGGTATTCTCTTCCTTTAGAGTGTAACGATAATCAGGAAGCTTTGGATCCAATTGAGATCCGGCTTTCTTCCAGGCTATCTTTAAGGGATGGTCGCCTTTTGCTTCGCAGCGCAACGAAGCGTTCGAGCCTAATCTGGCAGTTTGATTGCGATGCTTTTCCACAAAATGTGCGGGAACTGCGTCAAGAAACGGTCCATATGTGATGTCGATGCAAGTTGTTCAAAGTAGCACAGTAAGTACAAAGTAGTAATATTTCTGAATGCGCGCGGTTGCAAAATCAGATATTTTTGTTGATTTTACGTTTTTAACAACAAAGTAATAGAGAAGAGAAAATCGATCAGACCGAAGAAAGGAAACATATTAATAATAATGTAGATGCAAACGACAGACAAAAATAATCACCAATTAATAAAAAATCAATTCCTTTTATAAGAAAATTCGAGAGAGACAGAAAGAGATATTTTACTCTTTCAAAGCTTTTAGCGCAAAGCGTTTTTCAGTGACTGCAATTTACAACGGAAAATGCACTACGTATCTATTATAAAAAATTACATTTCTCATTATTAAAATTTCTTCTATAACAGCGTAACGCCAGAGACAAAAGAGACCATTGTCACATTGCAAGAGAGAAATATATATATATTTTTTACTTGTTTATTCTACTAATAAAATGATAAAATTTCTTTAAAACAGCACTTAATTATATAAAATTAAATATATTACGCAAATATGTGTACCGTTGACGGTGAGATACACGACTTTACTGAGTCCAGCTCCGATGCCGTTTACAGCTTCGCACAGATAGAAACCCTCGTGGTCCTCCTGCACACGGCCGAACACCAGCGAGCCGTTGGAGTGTATCCTCAGATCTTGCATGTGCTCGTGGCTCGCTATGTCGTGATAATTGCCGGGCTTCTTGCCGCTGCCGCGCCTCCACGTGACCAACGGCGGCGGAAATCCGTCGGCGTGACAATGCAGACTCAATCGCGGCATCCCTTCCGACGCACGAGCGTCCTGAGGCTCCACCACCCAGCGTGGCGGCACTGATCCATAATGTGCGATCATTAATCGATTGCCAGAGATCTCGACATGCGGCGGCCGACTATAGCGACGCGGTCCGGAAGTCGCGCGATCGATCATGCTAATCGCAAATAAAATAACAAAATCGCATTTTTCATCAAAGAAAATTTCGAACGAAACATTCCAATTATTACAACAAGATTATTTTACTTGCTAATTTGATTCTTTTTGGCATAAAAAAAAAGTCTATCTATTTTTGTCAACTTGAGAAAATCGAAGTTTATCGAAAAAGTTTACTTCTGAGTTCTTGAGTTTTGAATAATTTCTGATTCTAATTCTCGACCACGTTTTATCCAGTAAATTTACGTAGAAAACGGAGACGCTCTCTCCCGGACATCGTCGCGCATTTCTCTACCCTAAGCTCTTACTGCGCCGAGGCAAGAGCGAAAAGTTTCCGAGGAGAGGATTGGCCTACTGCAACTTTCTACTTCAGCTGCCGCGAGAGTAAAGAGAAATAGGATTTGAAAGCGCGCACGCGCGCGCGAGAGGAAAGTGCTCTCTCAGGGGTTGCGGATAAACGGCGCGAAACTTTTGCTGATAAAAATTACTGACTGTCCGCCAAACGCATTGGCGGATTGCCTCCTCTTTGTCTCTCTGCCTCGCGCGCAACGTGACAGAAACGGGAAGAGACACATACACACACACTGAGAAAGAGAGACCGAGAGGAAGACTAAGTTAAGGAAGAACAAGGGGAGACAAGTGCAAGAGAAAAAGAAAGAGAGAGAAATGACTGTGCTAAACGTGCGCGCGGTGGAAAGAATTTCCCAGCGACGACAAAACGGTAAAACAATATCGACGATAAACAGCGCGCGATAACCACAGAGAACAAAACGACACACGTAATATGTATCGATAAATCGGTGCTGTGCGAATCCAATACCATACACGAATGTGCACGATCAATTGTTGCGTACAAATATATGCACAAAGTGCGCAAAATGCGCGTTCCACCCGATCCGAACGTTTGCGCACCGAATTATTCGCACGCTCATTTGCATAAAGCGTCGTGTATTTATGCGTTTGCAAGCAATTATCGTTCGATTGTGATTAATAATTGAAGAGTTGAGCGGGACGAAGGATACACATCATATTGTTATGGAAGAGATTATTATGTGAGAAAATTTATTTTCTTTTTATAGAAAAGCGCTAACAAAAATTCCGTAAAATAATTGAAATAGTTGTAACAATAGATTTTTATTTATTTTATTTAAAAATAATATCCAAAACATATATATGTAAAGACACTTTGCCTAACAACAAAATATATATTTTTATTATAATCCAATTGTTGCATTCGTTACTTCTGTAATTGTCTTACATATATGTGTATTTTTAACATCTAAACTGATTCTTGATTAGTTTAAATAAAATAAGAAAAAGTAGAAATCCAGTACATGTAACTTCACTTCGATCACTCCTTTTTCTTCCGCTCTCGGTAGCGATTTCGTATTTGGGAAGCAGTACTTTCGGCAAACGTTCGGATCGAATAAGACGGTTTTTATTCGTTTCGGTGCAAGGCGGGATAAATATAGGTAGCATATGTATTTTTAGCGATATGAGAGAGCAAGATAAAAAAAAAAAAAAAAAAAAAAAAAAAAAAAAAAAAAAAAAAAAAAAAAAAAAAAAACGAAAAGAAAAGAAACAAGATGAGAAGAAAAAACGAGGAATGCGAACGTCGTATCGGGGAGATAGTCAGTGTTGCCAAGGAATTAAAGGTGCTCGGAGGACCAAATAAGAGAAAAAAATAACTTGAAAAACGTGTCAGTGCAGATATGCGTGTGCTGGGTGAAATGAACGTGACTCGGTGCTCCAAATTGAACTACGAGATTGCTGCTGCTGCTGTTGCTGCTGCTGCTGGTGCTGCTGCTTGCTCGTCTAACTCGCTGTGTGGCTCAAGACGAAATTGGTGCTATATGTGCGAAGCCGAATTTCGTCAAGTTGCCTCGCATTGGCCCTCGCATGCAGTACACTTTTCATTCCAGGTTACTGCGATCGCGTTGAATCGCGACACACGCTCAAAATTCTATTTCTCGTGCTTTTTGTACATTTTTTCATACTTTTTCTTCTTTTTTTTTTTTAATTCCATTATATCTTTACATTTAATTCTGCGATTTCTAACGTCGTACTACCAATTGATAAATTAATAGAGTGTTGTTTTTTTTTCAATTTCTTAAAAAATAATATTTAAAATTTTTTCAATAATATATCAAAAAATATTGAAGAAAAATGTATTGTTGTTTCGCCGCGCTTCCTCTTAGTCTCGACTATCAAAGCGTCGGGCACTTCTGCGTTTGACACCGGTGAAATTAATGCGTCCGACGCAGAGAAAGAGAGAGAGTGTATCTGTGTGTATGTGTGTATATGTGTATGCGCGATCGCAGTACTTATCTACTTAATTATCGCGATAAAAGACGGATAAGAGAGAGGTGCGAGTTGGACGGTGCGCTCGTGTGGTAGATACATATCTAGATAGAAAAAATATACATCGTGACCGTAAGGGAGGTGAAATAACGCTATATTATGCTGTGCTCAAGTGCGATGGTGCAACGACGGTTTGGCTGGCTGGGCGGCTGCTGCTGCTGCTGCTGCTGCGTCCTTTCGCGCGCGTATCGTCTCAAAAAAAAAAAAAAAAGAACCGTAGAGCTGCGTTTATCCGAACTGTGCTGCTGCTCGTTTCTATCCGGATGGCGAATTGTCTGCCGTGTATTTCTCGTGAATATCCGGCTAGCGCGTGCGCCACGCGATATGCTTGTATAAAAAAATTCCGCACACGGCTCTCGTGAATTTTAATGGGAAAATTTCGCGTAGAATATTATTCCGAAATATTTCACTTGATTTTATCGTAAAAAAATTAGAAAATAAGTACTGAAATATATAGATATTAAAAGAAATGAGTAAGCACGTGTATTACGTACACGTAAAACTTGAATTATATCGAAATTTCTGACAATACTGTTCAGATCAAATTCCCGCAATCTCTCTCACATGTTCTGCGGGAGTTCATACATTTCAGTTAATTACACGTCACCCAACAACAGTTAACGATCGCGATTATCACATCGCCAGCAAGCGATATGAGCTCTATTGTTGTATAGACGTCCGCGATCGATTCGATTTTTGCTATCATTAGCAGCTCCATACATGGCTAACAACAACGTATATATAGTATGAGCGAAGGTTTCATTTGGCGCGGTGTACGTGCCATAATTCACGGAACGGATATTATTTTCGATCAAAAAGCTGGACTGTGTTCAAATTCCGCGCGCGCGAGCAAGCGAACGCGCGGTTCGATGTTCTCATCGCGATAACCGGATATCCGCTCGGAGCAAAACCCGAGCGCAGCCCCGAGTGCGATTCTCGCATCATGCTACTTTCCGATGGACAGACGGACGGACGTTTGCTGCGGGGGCTGCTGCTGCTGCTGCGGCTGCGGCTGCGCTTACGTGACGACGATGCAACAATCCCGAATGAATGAATGTATCGGAGGGTGACGCGCACATCACAATTGGAAGCTCGCATTTTTCATACATCTCTTTTATCTATCTAATCGCCAGGAAATTAATTTTCATCGCTGTGATTTATTGCTCATTTTCACGTGTATCGCGTGTATTAAAAGTTCAGTTAATCCCAGAAGACGCGATGTCAGTTGTACGATCAGAGACATCATGAGAGTATAAAAAATTTACCGGACTTTATGTCTACATTAGAATATTATTATTACGTTAAGATAAGTAATATAACTAGAAAGTTTGCAGCGAGATACATAAAGTTGTACCGTTTATGTTAATTATACTCAGATTTAGACATTTAAGTTTCGCGCGCACACTTTCTCATTTGTCGAGATAATTTGAAAGTTGAAATTACGCTCCGCGCGCATAAATGGCACAATTTAATTTTACTGTGTTTTAAAGTAACTTATCTGTAATTATATATCTTTCTATCTTATAACCCTCCAAGTTCATTCACTTCCGCGCCGTCGCATCGTCGCGAAAACAGTGGTGCGCTGCCAAATGCAAAATAGTGCAGACGTGAGAAAAATAGAGAAAAAAGAAAACAAAAACACAGACTCGGTGCGACTTTCTTTTCCGCGGGTGCGATAATTTGTTGCGGTCTCTTTACTTTACCACGAACGATCAACTCGGCCGTCCAAACGACCTCGGCCACCGAATTGCGCGCCAGACAAGTATAGTTGCCGGTGTGCGCGGCGGTGACGCGCTCGATAACTATGGCGCTGGAATGGGCGTCAATGTTGGTTACGCGCAGCCCCGGGGGTGTCTGCGAGTGCTGTCGGGGATCGTTAACTGCCGCGGCGGCTGCGGCTGAGCCGTAGGCGGCGGCCGACGTGCCGGAGGCGGAAATCGGCTCGCCGTCCTTCGACCAGATGATCGTGAACGGCGGATCGCCCTTCTCGACCATGCAGGTCACCTGAGCGCGCAGGCCCTCCGACAGGTCCTTTTTAAAGCTAAAGGGAGCTATCGTAGGCGGAACTGCACAAAAAGAGAGAAAGAGAGACCTGTGATTGTGTGTGGGTTGTGTTGAACGTGATGTGCGTGTGTGTATGTACGTCCGAGTAACGAGAGTTGATTCAGCATTCCGGATTCTTAGCTTCCTTCTCCTGCTGCTGTGTGATCGAGGCCTGTCACGAGCGCTCCTTTACCCCGAAGAGCCACCTGAAAAGTCTGGACAACTTTTCCGTTAAGCTATAGATGCACGTCGCAAGTCGATGAGAATCGCGAGAGTCAGCTCGCGCGAGGCTAAGCAAGCAAGCTGGCTGTATTTGCATACGGCCGACTCGACATCCTGCGGCGTAAAACTTATTCATCGCCGTTCACCAAATACCGCACGCTTCTGGTCTGACGAAACTGTTGAGGCAGTAGTTTGACCCACTAGTTTCGCGAACCAGTTAACAACAGCGGATTCCCGTGATCAAGAATGTGCACGCGTCAGGAATCAAATACATTTCCCAAAGTTTCTTTTATAACAAATTGCTGTTACATTAATCTTCCAATTGAACTCGCAAAGACTTGTAGGAAAACCATAAAAAAATCAGTCACTTTCATGGCAATATATGACGTATCGTTTGTTGTGTAGTGTCGTAAAGTGTATTTTTGTATTGGAAATAAAATAATATTGAATTGAGAAGACAGAGACGGAACTAAAATGATGCAGCAAGAAATATTCAGTTATCGTCGAATGGCAAGCAGTTGTCGATTCACGCTATGAATATGTACGTGTATTAAATTACACGCGAAGAAAGCGCGCGCGCGCGCGCGCGTTTTCATGTTAGACATCTTATCTTCGTTTTCGAATACAAATGAAAATTTTCCAAACGCGAATAACCGTGTTTATTTGTTTTCTGCTGTCATTTTATCAAACACTACGCGGATCGGGAGAACAGGATTGTGACGTCTTTCGTGTCAGCGATGATGAAAAAGGGATGTTATACCTCGCGCGATATATGGTATCATATAAAACTACACACATCTCCGACTTTACGAAAACGAGGTGCGTCTTTCTCCAGTGTTTCGAAGCTCGTGTATTTTGCGAAATACACACAGCGACGAAAACAATCAAGCGGAGCGAAAGGCGAAGAAGGGATTCCCTCTTCATCCCCCGCTTCGTTGACTTTTCAACGGGCGGATGAGGGAGAACGAGGAATATGCACGGATAGGATACACGTCGCGACGAGCGTAATGCCGCGAAACGACAATAATAACTTGCTTCGTTGCATCGTGTGATACGTATATGGATGCATTCGGGAGAGCACGGGAACCCCGGGGGTATTAGAACAGAGCGCGGCGGTTGTTTGAGAATAATTGAGGAACCGCGGCAGGGAACTAGATAGCGCAACGTAACGTGAGTAATGCCCAAAGAGGTCTGTCGTGTGTGCATGTACATACGTATGTACTCGGTGCACGGAGATACATACGTACATACATAAACGTTCGTGTACAAAAGGGGGAGAGAGTCGGGGGAGAACGAGAAGGAGGACAGAAGGTGGCACGACGGGAGTTCTAGGGGGTGCTCGGGCGAGGCAACAAAGAAGCTCTTGTACGAGACATTGCGTTGATAAATTTTGTCGCATAGTTTGGCCAAGTGAAGCGAGACGCGCGCTCCAATTCTCCCTCTCTGTGAAGATAATTTGGCGGTCGACGTTCCTTAATTGGCGGCCGACGTTATTGAGAGCGAGCACGTGACGTTAAATCGCGGTTGCTCGGGTGATTCCTTCGCGATTGAAACGGCGAATGTAACTGATTGCAAACATTTGCGATCTCGTGCGAAGCATTAAATTGATATTTTTTATATGCACAATCTCGTGTAAAAGTAGAAAGTAGCGCGGCTTTTCGTCTTCTTCAAGTCTGAAGTCGCGGGATAAATTAAAGTAAATACTAACTTCGGACGGCGCAACTGCTCGCGGGTTAATTTTGTTCTACGTATAATATATGGGAGTGCAAAATAAATAATACGCCGCGCAGGCGACGAGAATAAAGAACAATGTGTTCTCTGTTTGTTCTTTGCTCGTCGACAGACGAGAAATGCGGAAATCACCCTTGGGCGACATGTTCGTACGTACGTTCGCTCGTCGTCGCCGACGGAAGCTACGCTCGTCGTTTCGCTTGCAGCGATTTACTCATCGAAAGAAGGAGCGCTTTTAATGCACGCGCAACCCTTCTTCTTGGAAAGGAAATATAAACGCGCCAGGCTGGAGGATATTCCGTTGACGTGGGGTTGTGATCCACGTGACATATGAACGACAAGTGTGCATGTGGCGTGTACACACACTCTCGTTCATTATTTTTTAACCTTTGAACGATGGATATCTTTGCCTCTATTTTCATGCTTCGTTTATAATAAAATGATGGCTGAAATGTAATCGCAAAAAGAATCGCGAGAATTGATCGCATAATATTCGCTAGAGCTTTTTTCTTCTTTTTTTTATCGCGTTAAATCTCATTTCAATCAAATATCGTCTCTTTCGTGCGGGAAAAAGATCATTCCGACGTCAAGAGAAGTTCGCGCGCGGGAATATCCACTTTTATTATTTTTTTTTTTTTTTTTTTTATCGCAGATACGAGATGGTTATTTTTTCCATCGCAGATTGATCTCCTTCACGCTTTGTATGCGCGACTATAAGTGGTCTCGATTGACAAGAGTCGCGCGTCGATTAATAGCGACCTCATCGCCCTTTTCATCCATTTTTCCTGCTGCGGTGCGCTCACCGCGGGGACCGCCAATGGAAACGCACGCAGCCACCGAGTACGCGAGAGGGCCAGAGCTTTTAGCGGATTAAACCCTCGAGCAAAAGGACCGAGTGCATTCGCTAAGAAAATAAAACCGTTCGAATATGGAAATTGGTTTTCGAAAAGTCAGGTGTCTCATCTCGATATTTGGATCGATATCAAAAAGCAACCTCTTCGCGAAATATAGATTAACTTCTGTGTAAGAAGAAAAGGAGTTGTTCTTCCAACTGTAAGATGAAAAATCAGAGATAGAAAGAATTCAGTCTACGGGACAAGATTTATAGATCGCGTTTCTTTTTTGTTTTTACGTTGAGATCTGGGATTGGGAGTTAGTAGGACATGAGTTTCTGGCATCTCACGGTGTTAGGCTGCGTACCATGCACCAGGAGGGATGCCGTGCGTGACGTCTTGGCGGCATCGTTGCTCGCCACGCACGTATAGTTGCCATTATGCGCGGTCGACGCGCTCTGTATCCTTAATGCGAGATCGAACTCGCCGATATGATGCGTGGCGGCTTCCCGCGGCTTCAACGGCCTGCCGTCCTTCAGCCAGGTGATCTTCAGCGGCGAATCGCCCTCGCTGATCGCGCAGGTCACGTGTACCCGCGCACCCGCCTGGATATTGTCGGGAAAGCTAAACGGATCGATTTTAGGCGGTACTGCAAATTACAGGAAGCACACGAGAGTTTATTTCACATCGCAACGAATTGTCGTCATCATCGTTGTCGTCATCGTTTGCGATCATTGCTGTCATTTTGGTCGGAAAGATTTTCGAGTCGAGAGAAGAAAGGACCTTGAAGTGCTCTTCTTTTGACAATAAAAACAAACAGACCGTTATTTATTATGCAGAATCTCGATATTTTGCAAGCGGAAGAAACAACGCTTGTACATTCAGTGGTTAAAGAACGTTGGATTGCTTCCAAGTCATATAATAGCATTAGTCTACTTCCTTTTCTAGAACTGTTTATACTTTATTTGTGATCTTTACAAAGAAACGTCGCAAGTCGACTTAAGTCTAATTTAAATGTGTTGTAAATTACACAATTTCAGAAGACATTTTTTTATACGCTAAACTTGCGACAATTTCCTCGTTAAAGTAATTTTAATTTTTTCGAGAATTATGAGATGATTAGCACAGACAATTGTAACATCACATAAACTCAGAATTTATAACAGAACAGATTATTTTTCGATCCCGATATTCTTTCGACTCAAAGAGTTTGGGTTACACGAATGGGTTTTGAAAACAGGAAAAAACGCGATCTCTAAGTTTCTCGATAATCGCATACATGACCTACCTGCATATTTGTTCGATGTTATAGCAGCATAAAACTTATGCATCTGGAATTGTCATTAATTCAAGAGAAATGATGAAGAAATGTTATTATCGAGAGAACTAAATTATACGATCTAGTTAGTGCCACGTGCGAACACGTGTGTCAATTTGTTGGATACAATACTCAAAAATCGAGTCAGATAATTCAGAAGAGCAACAGTGTCCTAATTGTTCGAAAAAGACATTTCAGTATACTTTACTTGCTTGTATATAATCTGATTAGTACCACGTCAAAAGAAGAAAGAGCGAGAAAAACGAGAATTTAAAATAAAATTTTCGAACGGCAATAAAATAAAATGTATTGTGCGAGTACACCAAGAGTAAAACGCAACACAGAAAATTCCTTCTCGAAATAATTTATTTCTTGAAATATCTCACTTCAAGAAAGAAGTCTTATAGCCAAATGGACAAGTACGAGAGTCTTTCTTGGAAAGAAAATGAAGAGGTCGGGATTTCTTTTTAAATCATAGAAAGTTCCCCGTACTCTCCATCATGCACGTGGTGGAGAGGAGTCTCCCATCTCGATCTCGGAAATAAAACTCGCGTACTTGTGGTTCTTCTCTTCATCTTTTCTATATTATACACGTGGGAACGCGCTATATTATACGCGCGAAGCGCTACAAATTTTTCGACGACGATTGTCGGCGGTGTGACATATATCGAGGAGAAAATTGTCATGCTTCGATACGCGAGATAAAAATCCACATTCGATAAAACGTCCACAATTCCGCTCAAGGCTATCAATTTAAAATTCTCTTGCGAAGAAAGATGTCTCTACGTTTTTCATCGATGTACATATATATATTCCGAGTTCTATCATCAACTATTCCGTGTCCCGAAATGATGTATGACAAGTGATACATATCCATCATTTTTCTATAAATTGATATAATTGATGTCTAATTATTTATAAATTTCAAGTTAGATTTTAGAACAACAGTCTGTAAAAAAATGTTCATCGACAAACGACGAACGGAAAATCCGGAGCTTTCGCGTTTAACGACGCGCGGCAAATGTACGAGAGATGTGAATTGTCAAGCGATTTCTTCCGATAAATCCGGATTCTTCATCGTAAAGGCACTCCGTTGTGAGTACACTTTGTAGTGGCGCAAATCGCTTTTGAGAGGTTGCGGAAAATCTCGATAGAACAGATCGTTGTCGCAATCGCGTGGGACACTGTTGCTCCAATTTAAACGGATAAGATCTTCGTGTATGGAGACGAAAAGGAAAGAAGATATGGGAACACATTGCATGCAAAAACGAGAAACTTTACCTTTGACTTCTATGTGAATCGTCTGCGAGTCGGAGCGACCTTGTTTGTTCTTCGCGGTGCACGTGTATGCGCCACGATCAGTGCTGCTGTCAACGCGATGAAGCACCAATGTTCCATTAGGGAACACATCTTGACGGCGACTGGTCGGTAATATTTGACCATCTGCGAGAAGAAAGCGGCACTATTTCGTACATACATGATTTCTTTTAAATAAAGACCAGAAGGTGACATGCACATATAAAATCTCCTACTTAATCCAAGACTTCTGGCCAAAGTGTCTTTTTCGATTTTTTTGAAATTTTACAAGAGAGAATAACGGATTATTCCGATATACAAAATGCAAGTTGAGCATCCGATATGGATTTTCGAATTTAATTCGAATTATAATTTATATATTACGTGTATTAATAATTCATGTTATGTATATTAATTTACACGTTATAAAAATATTTTGCACGTGTATCCAGCAATTTAGTTCTTAATACTGGCTGTATTAATTCTCTTGTATAGTAAAATATTTTTATAATATATATATATATATATATATTAAAGTGCACACATGTACGATATTTGTAATTAATTTTATATTTTACAATAATATATGGAATTTCCATTAGTGTCACTTTTTTAGAGTATCAGTTATTTTAAAATAAATATAAAATATAGAGAAAAATAAAGTAACAAACAACAGTTTAAGTTAATATATTATAATAAGATATATGCAAAAGTGAATGATATAATATGCAATCACTGGAACATTGTTTATCAGTTTATTAGCAAGTTTTAATCAAACGTGGAAAATCACGATCTCTGGGCGAAGGCCAGATGATATTTAAGTTTAAATTATGCATCTGCTTTTCGCACCACACGCGCCACACGATTCGCGCGACCGTAGCATTGTGGAAATGTGGTTTTCCACTGATTTCGCACCACATTGGCAACGTCACAACGGTGCAATCGAGTGTTCAATCCGTTTTCATAGCCGGTGACCGACTTTGAAATTGTTGTACACGTTGCCCTTCGTATTCCGCGGTTTATTTTCGAATGTAGGAAGTAACTCATAAGATAACACCATGCAACAGTTTTAAATAACACAATTTATAATTGTAAATATAAGATACAAAACATAATCGTAACATATACAATACAATTATATTAATACATAAAATCATATAAAATTTAACATACAATGTACAAAACAATTAAATAACATGCATTACATAAGTATAATGTAGTGTAAAAATAGGACAAAAAATATTAATTGAAAAAATATTGAAGGACTATTTTTTTTAATACATGTATACATAGTTTCGTAGATCCTTAAAAAGTACTATGCACAAAGTGCTTAATGGACCAAATGGCCGTGGGGGATGGCGAGCGGTTGGCGTCGCGTGTCGTCGCGACGTTGTCGGGGGTTGGGGCGGGAAGTTGGCGCAGATCGTTTCAAACTTCCCCGAAGTCGAGTTCATCATTACGAGAAGGAACGCTCGAAGTTCGCCTCGGGACGGCCTCGACCTCGGTCGAAATAAAAGGATTTCTCACCCCTCTTTTGATATTGCGCGTCACCTTCTTTTCGCCGCGGGATGTGAAAAGGCCGAGAAAACCAACTCGCCTATTCGCTTTCCCCGAGAGATTTCTCAAAGCAAGAAAATTTCCCGAAGCACGACTTTTCAGCGGTCGAAGACGCGTCCGCTAACTTATTTACGCGTCCTTTGCAGCATCCCGAATATTTTAATCTGCGCGCGAGTATTTATTTCCGTCGTTCGGTCTAGAAAAATAGATGACGCCGGCACACAAAAGTCGGCGAATTTTGTTAAAGCAAAAACCGCGAGTTTATTTTGGTCGTGATTTGCTTGATAAAGCATAGAAGTTTCGAGTGTTGACGTATAAATGTACATGAAAAATGTCTGCGCCACATAAATGTGAAATATTGACAGATATTAAGAGAACAACCAAATTGCAATCCGCAAGAGAGATAATGCTCGTGCATTTCAATCTTAGCCAAAACGTTGCAACAGTTACACGAAATATGACATGTAACGTACAAAAAAAAAAAATATTTTTATAAGCCGAGAAATATATGTCGGTACATATTGCTTTATGGAACAAGATTCTATACAATGTCAAAGTTGAGTTTTAATATCGAAAGAACCGAATAATTCAATTTCGCGATAGAGACGTAAATTCGTGGAAAATCTCCAAGTATTGGTGGAAGTATCGGCTAAAAGCGAGTAACAAAATAGTAAAGCAAAAAAATGCTCGATAAAAGAGTCGTGTTGCAAAATCTCATCTCCTTCCAAACTACTTATGTCAGTGGTTTTCAATCTACGTTACACGCTTTTCTTTTATTGGAAAAAATACGTGAAAATAATTCAATAAATAATTTAATATAATAATTACATACGCACAACTTAAAATTGAAAAAAATTTGAATTTCTTGAAATATAAAAACGAGTATGGGGAAAACAACCGATTGATACAATGTGGCGAACCTTTTTCCCAGGTGATACTGGCGATCGGAAAACCTGCGACGGGACACTTGATGATGGTCGTCTCACCGGCCACGGCGGCGAGGTTGCCCATCGGCCGCACATGAGGCAGCCCGTAAATATTGAGCCGGGCCGCGTGATGCGCCTTTGCAACGCGATTCACCGCCGAGCATCTGTACTCGCCGCCGTCCTCCACTCGGACGGCGCTTATGTTCACGTGGGATATCACGTCGCCGTGCACCGTCACGTACTGGCCTATCATGAATCTGCAAACACAAATCGCCGCGGTTTTAGGTACAAATTTACTCAACCCGTCGACCAAGGTTTTTGTTTGCTATCTGTTTTTTCGCAAAATTGCGAGAAAAAAACAGAGTATCAACTACGAGGAACGATTGATAAGTATCCGAAACAATGCATAGATAGTGAAAGTGAGGTCACATTGCTGTTATTGTTGACAAATTTCACTAATATTAGATATGTAACACAGGATAAAATTGTATGAAAATAAAATTTTGTAAACAGAAACATTTGTTTCTGGTCGCGCAAAATAAATGTTTTTTACTTGTTTCATTTCTCTCCTCTCTCTCTCTCTCTCTCTCTCTCCTCTCCTCTCTCACGCTGATTTCTCTTTATAGAAAATTATTACCATCGCGATTTGCTTCCGGCAACATACATATATAAATCATCTGCCAATGAACCAGATAGAGACGCGGAATTATACTCCGTCGCCGGTTATGCTGCGACTTATGTGAGCGTCCGTTAAATCCATCGTTCGGAATCCGGTCGGCTTTTAAAAACGTCCAGACTGAACAGCGTGATTGGTAATTTTCCTCTCAATTGGTTCAGAGAATCGAAGCCCGCGGGGGCCTATCGAGGCTCTCCCACAGGATCTGCCTCCGTCGGATGGAAACTCCACACCGATTTCCCGACGATCTCGTGTAATACTCCGGGGTTAATAACCGCGAATAATCCTCGTGTACACCGTCCGTCAATTTTTGGTGCCATAAACTTTCGTCGGACGAAAGAACGAGAGTAAAACGGTCGGTGGATCGAAATTCGAGATTGCATTGCGTTTTTTTCTTTGTCTCTTGAAGAGATGTCGCGCGCAAAAAGAACTACTCGCGTTCTACCTGTCGTTTTGTGGAAGAGAAAACCCGTCCAACGTCCAGGAGAAGTGCGGCGTCGGGTTGCCCGTCGCAATGCACTTGAGCGACACCGAAGGACCTGGTTGCATCGTCTGCTCGATAAACTTGTACAGAAGTTGAGGCGCTGCATCTAAAACAAAACATTTGCCAATAATTAAAATCAAACTTCTAATCGTAACGCTAATAAGTATTTTGTTTTTTTTAAATAATTTGTTTTTCAAAAAAATAATTTAACGATTTCATTTTAATCGTATAACTGTTTACTTTCTCTTGTTAAATTGAACGAAATATTACCGCAAGAACACGAAACCGATTGTAACTGCAAAAATTTCGAGATTGCGGCGCGCCTCGCATAGTCGGTACAGTTAAATCCATCTTGTATATATGCTCGTAACTCGCGCACAAGCAGCGAGAGAATATTCGCGGAAAATCTCCGTGCAATAGTCAGGATTTTCTTCAAATTGCCGTCAGAAAGAGAGACGGGAAATTTCCCGGACTGTTACTACCTCAAACAAACTCTAGACAAACACGAGGTAATATCACGAGGAAAACTAAGAAGGGAGAAAGAAAATTTGTAAACATAAACAAACCGCATAGTTAATGACAGAATCTTTAATAGCATAAATTTATTTCACGAAGTTTCACAAATTGTTCCACTTAACCCCCAAAACTTCCTTTCTGAGATTAAGTTAGAGAAATTTAATAATAAAATAAATCACGAGAGAAGAGAGCGCGATTTCTCAGACGCGCAGTTCGTAACTGAATAGAGTCTCTCAATTCTCTCGGACTATCTTTTATCGGCGTCGAAAGTTAACTCTCATGAGAAATGCGAGTTTGTCGGCCTCTGCCGGAATGTCTGGGATGCGCACCTGAATCAGGTGCGCGTATAGCAACGCTGCGCATCCGCGCATACGCACGTACATACAAATATCGATAGAGACACTGCGGACGCTTGCCTGCGGCGGGCATCGCCGTGGAAATGGCCCTGGGTCGCCGCAAGGCGGGAGTATTATGCACGCAACATTTACATGACAAGCCCCGGGTGTGCGCGCGGGCGGAACTATCGATCTGCGGTTTGACGCCTGAACTCGAGTGCCGCCCGGTGAATTAACCCCAAATTATAGAGCCGACAATAACCCGGGTCGAGGGTGGCACAGCGCCGGGTGGTCGAGTTGATTCGAGGCGGCTGTTTGCTCACGGCGTAAATCAGAATGCCCTATTGCACGCTGCGCGCCACGCCCGTGTTATCGTCAAGAGCGCTATCGTTATCGTTACCGTCGGAGTTCACCGACTCGTCATCATCTATTTCCAACTATCGGTCGTTAGAAATTCACGAATCGAATCTTCTTGAAATCGCGCACCAAGCAAATTCTCAAAAATGCACCGAATCGCTTCGTAAAGTTTGTCGAACTCGCAAGGAGCTTAAGGAAGAGATCTAAACTCTCGTGAATAAAAGAAGCGTGATTTTTCATCACGTACGTGACGATTAAAATTTCTTTTTGTTGTAATATTTTCTTCAAAAAGAAGACGAAAATAGATATATATATATGTGTGCATTAAAGTCAGTCTTTTAAATTCGAACAGAGAGTTACGGTAGCTTAAGCTGACAAAAAGTTAAGTGCATAATCTGCATGCAATAATTAACTACCTCCCTTTGTGACGCGATTGTAGGATTAGCCCCATTAAACAAAGACGCGTTCCACTTCAGAAAGTCCTTTTGCTTTGACTCACTCATAACTCGGCAACTATATTAAGGCGCAGACATTTTCATTAAAGACTAATCAAGTCTAAACTGGTCAAAGAACGTCTCAGAAATCTCTTGTCGTGTTGAAATTAAGCTCGTTCTGAAACACACAACTCGTGCATCATTTCTGGCGGTTCCATTTTTCTCGGCTCTATAACAGACTTTATCGCGTATCTCGCGCTGTCGATACGCGAACGTTTCCATTAGTTTCGGCGGACTATACATCGATCGTGTGTATCTTTTTCACACGCGCCGGATCGGTATAATCCTTGACAGATTTGCAGCACAGCTCGACAACGCGCGCTTTCGCATCGCTTGTGACAATCGCGCGACTTCGTTGCGCGAGCGATTATTCGCGTCGAAGCTATTACATGCCGGGCTTTGTGTCATTAATGCATGCAAACAACGGAGAGAGTACCGGGGGTGTGCGAATCAATGCGAACGTTGCGCAATGATTTCGAACGGCACCTCTCGTTATTTATCCCGACCAGATTGCGCGGATTCGATGCTGCCGTCGTAAACAAAGTGGAAGTTTGCCAAAATCAAGACCGGAAAATTATTTACGCTCCGTCGGGTCTGCGTCGTGTTTAATATCGCAAAACTCGTGAAAAGCGCGAATCATGAGCGCGTAATGAGAAAAATATGCAAGTTTGCACTTAAGATTCATATTGATAATTTTATTTGTTGAAATATAAATTGTGTCTCAACGAGAAGACGTCTGAAATTAAAACATTTAAAATCATAAAACAATGATTAATTCTTAGAGCATCTTCTGTTGATCTTTATATTGTTAAAATTTACATAAATATAATGAAATTTTAATTGGTAGGTATATATTTGTATTATTATATATTTTCTCGGATATACCTACTACATTTATATCACATAATCTAGAAATGAAGATAATACACACACACACGCACGCACACACGCATACATATATGTATATTACATTCTGTTACTGTAATTTAATAAGACAGCGAATCGCTAATCCCGGATTAGTGAAGCCTGACTATCGGCGTGCAACTTACTCCGAGACTCTATTACATCAACGTCGGTTAGCGCTAACCGCGATTTAAAGCTGCCCTATCCATTCGCATTACAACTATGATCCAAAAAAAGACGTAAAATCGTTAAGTAGAATTAATTAACCCAGATTGTGTCGACCGCGCGACGCAACGCTCGGACTATGTCGTCAGCGAGTATTCATTATTAGATATTAGTTTTTTTCAAGTGAAATATATATACGTGCTCTGTCTTTCTCACTCTCTTTAAAAGCGTGACTCACGTAGTTTTACAGGCTCCGCGATTTTGCTCTTAATCGAATAGAGCAACGGTAAGTTCCGATTAAGGCGCATGAGGTGAGCGCGTAAAAAGCGATAAAGTGCCGAAGAGAGGCTTCAATTCGATATAATGGTTGTACAAAGTTCCAGTGAAGCTTTCTAGTAAAACTGGAAAAACGCCAATGCACGATCGTCAATCTTCCTTTCCAAGATGTACTTTTACGACTTACGGAAATCACTTTCCTTGTTCGAAAGTAGTTGAGAAAGGAGTTAATGTAATTGCAATAATTGCGATAATTTTGATTGTTAAAAAAAAACAACTTGGTCTATCTTAAATCCTTTATTGTATTAGCAAATATTTGTCAATAATTTTGTCCAGAAGGTGAAATATTATAAATATTTTTTGTAATTTCTGTTTCTATTAGTTGCAACGGAGATGGTTTGTTTCGTGGTGTACAATGAACTCCGATGAAGTTTGCTGGTTTTGCTACAACATGTCTCGTGTAATATAAGATCGATCGTTAAAACTTGCAATCAAGGCGGGAAGAGCTTTGCTTTTAGTAGCCATGCTGATTCAGTTACGCTTTCATTTGGCTCGCGCTCAAAAGTGTATATTTCGTCGCGAATCAGCAGTTTCCCACCTTATAGTTTCAGTCGGGGGTTCCATTCGCGAAATCCTTTATGTTCCGTATCGTACAAATTGTGAAAATACCGACAGCGACAAATCTCTCTTTACACATCTTGCAACATATAGATATACATGTTGCAAGATATCTTTATACATATATATATATCTATATTTCCTGCTTTTCATGACTATCTTCCGATTTCAGCGCGATTTACGATCGTTATAGAACTTCGCCTCTTTGATTCTCTTCTTTTGTTACGTAATAAAGGGATTACCGCGTCGTGTCCAATTATTTTGCGTTTTGTGACAACAACGACGATGACGACGACGACGACGACGACGAAGGCGATGACATACGCGCCACTGCAAATCGCATTAAACGAACTCGCAAATTGCTCGGAAAGACTATCCATCGCGCTCAGTAACAACGACGCTTTGCGTGCGCGAATATCAAACAAAATATCGCAGACAGATATGCGTACAGATATTTATATACGTATTGCACTCTCTCGAATATAAATATATCGCGCGAAAGTCGCGACTTACTGCGCGAATTCATATTGCACTTGAAATAGTTTATTTTTACTCTTTCTGCAGGGGAAAAGAAAAAAGTCGGAAAATACCGGCTGGTGGCTGTATGTTGCCGTTGCCGTTGGCGATTTAAAGAGCGATCTCGTCGTTTTATCGCATTCGCGCGCGTTCCACTTCTCGACGGCTTTTTCACCGAAATATCGTTTAATTGCGATAAAAACGATCAGTGGAATTTTCATATGTTCCATTTGCGGAAAAAAACATAATAGTTCGGAAATTTCGTGAATTTCATTTTATGATATACACTGTATATACTATACATATTATATATCCTGAAGCTATTAAATGTGTGTCAACAAAAAAATATTTAATTTATACTGGTAACGTGTAACTTAGATGTAAATTAGAATCACTCCCCTGCATATAAATGTGAAATTTACTTTAGATTATTTTTTAATTATTTTTAAATTATACTCTTGCTCTGAAATGATATTTATTAACGGATATTTACGACCAACGCTCTCTTTTTTAAGCCAAGTGTCTTCATTTAGAATATTTGTACAACCTAAATAAGGACGGCAAGGTGTAAACTAATGTAAAGGAAACGTGGACTTGCATTAGTTTCTTGCTCGGTTCGTGCGCGCGGACATCTTAAGACGGTCGAGAAAGCGACGACGGTTGTTTAACGTAATGGATTATGTCGCGCGAAAACATCGCCCATCTTCTCAACCGTTTTAAAGACATCCAGGACGACGACGAACCCGGAGAAGAACAACGACAGCGAAATATTCGTCCGGTCGTCCATTCGTCTCCGCTCGCATCTTCCACGATACTCGCCATGGTCGTCACCCTCTTTCACCGCTCTGTTTCCATTCTTTCTCCACGACCGACCGACCCTCTGACTGAGACAAATGGCGCGTATTTATTTCGCGGCACGCCTGGCTGGTGGATTTCTCCTTTCTCCATTATGCATCGTCCTCGTTAAGCATTTCTACGCTTTTTCTTTCCCTTTCATCCCCCTTTTTGTCTCGGGACTTGCCCGACCTTGTTTTGTCGTCTTCCTCGCCAACCCCTCGGCGCTTTTCCTCGCTCGTACATGTTCCTTGGTCCGATTCGCGCGCGAATGTACACCAGCACTACTGCTTCGTGCTACGCCTAACTTCAGAACAATTGATTCGCGGCGATGAAGGAATTCAATTGCACCTATTGAACGAGGGTTTGGCCAGGAATTAGACAGAGAAACAGGTGATGTATAGCGAAAGAACGCTTTCAAACATTCCCGTCGTAAATACGAAATGTTGAACGGCGATTTTTCAAATTTAATACGCAAATTTAAATAGTTGTTTTTCAGAATCACTCCTTTTTAACATAAAAAATAAAAATATTAATTAATTTTTGTATGCGTGAAGCAGAATTGGTTAGATTTAGTTATTAGTTTTAATACTAGTTTCAATTACTAGTACAGGGAGGTTGTTGAAACTAAAATCATATTATATCTCCTATCAATTGTTTCGAACGTTTTTGTACATGTTAGTTTTATAACTTAGAAATGTCAATTTTTTATTCTAGCTGTTGCTAAAGCTAGCTTGCGCGCTATTAATCATGATGAGTGCATTATTACAAAATTTTCAACTTTTATAACTATATCGTAGAGTCGACTAATTATCACCCTTTCGTGATCCTCGTCGCGTGTTTTTGGCCGTAATTGAAGAATAATAGCCCAGTGCGTCGTGAATGAACGACATTCTTAATTAAAAATACAACATCGTTTAATAGCACAATAAGGCGGCTTCCGTGCAATGCGCCTATATATATACATTATAAACGAACTTATTATTATAGAGCGACCGGCAAAAACTGCAAAAGGTCGTAAAGAGACAGGGAGCTGAGACAAAACTTTGGCAATAGAGAGTCTTCCGCCGTCGGTTAATGGTGTACCGTTAATAGCCTTAATTTAGCCTTATTATTTCCTAGAGAGAACTTTCATAAAACTTCACCGAAGTTGCGCGCGACCGTGTTCTCGTTAATCCATCCCGACTTCGTGTGTGGTACTTTAAATACAACCCGCTGTATGTATTACACCAGATCTAAAAAAATATCTCGTCTATTTTTACTGGCTTTTCTGCTTTACTTTTTTGTCTTTTGTTTTTTTGACAGAAAACAGAAATTAGAAGAAAAATTAGACGAAAAGTGCAGATGGTTAATTGCAGAATTGAATATTTTCATTGTACTCAATTAGCAAACCTCAATTCACATCCATCTATACACGCGCGGTTAACACAAAATTTGTGGGTCTAGATTAATAATACAAACTTTCCTTCTCTTTCAAATTAGCGAAGTATGTGCCGTGCATTGTTCTCTCGATGCTAATTAATTCAGTTCATCGCGCTGTACGAAATGTAGAGCTCTACAGTTGATACAAATTGTTCAGACAAAACTTGTAACTCGGAGCACTTCGCGAGCAATGAGAGATTACATTGGTAACAAGAGAGGGCAATGTGGAATCGGACAAGCGTACCTCCCAGGCGCAGTTCGGCCGTGGCCTGCACCATCTCGTAGTCGTTTTTGGCGAAGCACTGGTACATCCCTTTGTCGTCCCTCACGATGGAAGATATGCGCAACGTCGAGCCGTCGTTACCCGTAATTTTAGTCCTACCCGAGGATCCCTCTCGCACAGGAAGACCGTCCTTCGCCCACGAAATCACCGGATGCGGTTGACCGGTGACGGAACATTGAAACTCCGCATCTTTCCCCAAATCCACGGTCACCTGGAACCCACAGAGAAAACACATGTGTATATGTATGTATGTACAGTGACACTGCGATATGGTTTTGTGTAATACAATAGAATGTAATGCAATATTTACTAATATTCCGCGGTACAACGGAAATATGATATTTGGAAATATAATACACGCAATCTAATGCTCGTACGTTGTCCGCGATACGTATTACACGTATGACAATGCGAATTTACGTTGATATTATGCCAGATTAACAATAAATTTTCTTGTGTGTAAAATTGTGATTTACGGAATTTAATCTTTGAGATAGAATTGTGCAGAGAAGCAGCTTTGTAATTCATCGGAAAATTGTACAACAGGCGGCATATCTTAACGCAATTAAAAAGGTCGACGCGAATATAATATTCTGTGCGGACTTTAATCACGCGGACATGTAATGCGTATACGTGCCGATGAGCAGAAATGCGAGTACATCTAGTTGCCATATATTGAATTAGAAATTGAACAAACGCGCTTATACAATTAACCCAAGTGACCCGATGGAATTTCCAATTCCGCATTCGAGAAGCTAATTTAATCATCTGTCCTTTGACCGTTGCGTTTCTCTCCTTGAAAGTGTATCAACGTAATTAAGATAAATTGATGAGGAATCTGGTTGATTTCACGGCTTCAGTTTAAGTAGAATCGACTAGGTAAAATATAGCGATACATGTATGTACTATAATAATAAATATAAAAGTCTTTTTCTGACAGTTAATTTTAGCTTTCGAATTATCACGAGAAACCAACAATTATATTTAATTTCTTGTCTGTCTCACATTTCTACAAATATTATATTATAAATTATTTTCTTTTTTTATATATTCTCTTGTTTATATAATATTACATAAATTAAATCCAATTATAATATACATATATATATATATCATATAGCATTTTGTTGATGGCCACATTTAATCGCGATATCATCCGAGATCGGGGTTTAAGATCGACTTAGGCGCGTTCTCTACGTATAATTGAAGTCTTCCCAGCGCGAGTAGATAAGACCGCACGAGTTTCAGGCATGGATGCGCGCCAGAAATTCACGGAATAATACAGGGTGATCCATTAAATCAACCTCCTGCGGAATTTCCATATCCATCTTAAGCCCCTCAGGTTAGCGGCGATCGAACGCAAAAGGGATCCTTTGATCCAGGGTAGAATCGGTCTTGCGCATTATTAAGGATGCTCGTTTACTCTCAGGGAAACGACAGAAGGGGGGGGGGGAAGTAACAGACGATAAGTCGAGGAGCGGGAAGGCACGAACAGTGCATTTCGATTATGCGGCATGTGAGCACGCGCGCGCGCGCGCATACGTTCGCACGACTCAAGAGATGCAGCTACATCTCGTCCGTTCGATGAACCGCTGTTGCGAATTCCGCAACCACTTCTCGACCAAGAATTCACGAAGAGCACTTGCAGCTGTTCGACGCGCACTCGATAAGCAAAAAGCATCTTGCCGCGATAAGCGAGAACCCGAGAGAATCATTCATAACGTTGTTGCATTGATCGAGAATACTTGGATTACAGCGTATCACGTGTGTATCGACTCGAATAAAGTTGAATTTATGATAAAAGTAGCTTCTTCATGTATTTATCGTGACACCACACCATACAATACGCGCGTAATCACATAAGTTTCACAAAATATAAAAAAACTGAAAATTGTTTACATAATGCAATGTATTATCGCAACACTCTCTGTGTGTAAATGATGTAATTTCTGAAAATGGTTTTTGAGTTTGAAACGTTTCATTTTTGTCGACGTTTCATGAACATTTCAGTAGTTCACTTCATCGGGATTCGAGAACAGTCTGAAAAATAACGCAATTTGGTTGAAGTTATTCCGAAATCATTAAATATCGTTAAGAGGATCACGCTTCGGCGACGGTCGCTTTTATTCAAGAATTCTAAGAGAAAACTTCTTGCGCGAACCGCTGCTGTGACTTAAATATCCTTTGATACGACTCTCGTCTTCGGTAGAGCGCGTGCGAAGAGCGCTCCGGGGGTAGGAGAAAAAAATAAAACCACGATCGTGATGGTTTCTTTAGAGGTGCTCGAAGAGAGAGATTCATAAAACGCGAGCTAAGATGCCTGTTTCTATGCTTCCCTTCCTGTCGCGCCAAGTTCCTTTGTGGCTACCTGTCTTTACGATCCGCGCTTAAGTATATTTACAACATGCTGTGTACATACGTGTGTGTGTGTGTGTTTATGTGTGAGAAGTTGGGGAAGAAAATGTGTGTGAGTGTGTAAGATACCCTTGTTTCAGCATAACAATAATACGTGTGCGCGCACGTAGGCGCAATTTTCTTTGAGTCGCGGTCGTTATGTACCTTTTTTTGAGAGAAAATGTGAAACAAATAAGAAGACGCGTTGTTAAACGAAGATGCGTTTTTACTTCGTTTTTGATGCGAGCTTTTTGTATAATACAAAATATAATAGTTTAATAGTAAACGAGAAGATGGTAATACAATGTATAGAAAATATCTCTGCTATTATTGTGTTTTTATTTTGGAAAATATCTCTGCTATTATTGTGTTTTTATTTTGGAAAATGTGCGAACACTTTCAAATAAGTAATTTAGCGCTTAAGTTACACTTTCTCATTGTTTTTAACAATTGACGAGATATAACGGATTAGTTTCAGCGACTTTTTAAGTATCATTCTAAATGTATCGCTAAAGCAAAGTCGCTAAAAGTTTTCAATTTTTGCTGCTGATTTTTTTATTTCACAGTTAGAAAGTTATGTCAATATCTGTTCTCTCTCGTTTAACAAACCGAGCGAGTTTTGGCATCATGTGTTCAATTAATCGTTTCCGGGCGAAATGTCGACAGAAATAACGTGACAGCGCCTTGGGCTTTATCGGGCCCTACGATTATTAACTTCGCCGGAAGGTGCGCTGCGCGCGACAAAAAGTCGTAGTTTTTGCCAATAAAGGACGAAGGGTGATTTGACGCGCTAATGGAACGAAATTGCGAAGGCGAAAGGCAGTCAACATATATATATATATATATATATGTACGAAGTGTCGCAGATTTTTTTCTACCGTGTCTGTCATTTATATGTTGTAAAATAAAATTTGTGAAATTTCGAGATATCTGATTTCAATCTTGTTAGAATATTATAAAAATGTCAATAATTAAATCACGAACATCCGAAGATTCTCTCAAAAATTTTCAAATATATGAAATATGGGAAAATCACAAATTAAACTTCAGTTCATATTTCCATGAACACTTTTTATTTTAATTTGAGTTGAATATTCTGACGAGCAAAGCTGATCAAGAAAATTTCTGAAAGGAAGAATAGACACAGGATTGGGTCAGCAATAAATGCACACCCTATATGCACGAGAGAATCCGTCTGGTATAGGAGCGTTCCTCCGTTGATGACCGCGAAAGTTATACAGAAGGCTTCCGGCGAATGAATGGTATTTCATCGTTTCCAGCTCCTCTCGGGAACTCCTCCCGATCCCTCTATCGCCCTGCATGACGGCATCCAGCAGCCCTCGTCACTACGGGCCATTTACCAATACCCATTCGCTCTTCTTTTATATGTATATATATATATATATGTGTGTGTGTGTGTGTGTGTGTGTGCGCTCGAGCTGTCCGCTCCAGATGGAAGAATACCGACCACTTTCTCGCGTTTTCCGTCGGACAGCGACACTTTACTGACATTTTCCAACCTTTTCTCTCTCTCTCTTTTTCCATCCTAATCCTCCCCAGCTCGGTCCCGCGACGCGACGAGGCGACGATCGACCTGGAATGTAGTCGACTTTTCAGGCTGGATAGGTACGTAGCGGTAACGCCGGTTCGAACGATTCGTCTCGGCAAATCGAGACAGGGTTGTGATCCATCAGCTGGTAATTGACAGTGAAATAGTTTGCGCGCGCGTGGAACATTTATTTCACAACAGTTTCCGCGCGAGTGCTTCGATATCTCGGTCTGTGTGTTATCGGCTCGACTACGACGGTCGATAATCCGTTCGCGAGAATGACGCGCCCATAGAAATCGCAGAGTGTAGTGAAGTGTATTATTTCAGCGAATATATGTACATATAAAATAAAACAGTAATTTCTCACGGCGAAAATTTTGTTTCAAAACGAGATTTCTAAATGTAAACAAAATTAAAAAATTATATCAAACTCTGAAAATGCGTAGCAAGATCCATTTTTGTAAATTTATTGGCAAAAGTATAATAAGAGAAGTACATAGAGCGGTGAAAGCCGTGAAACTCTTCCAGCAGAAACGAGCATACGAAGATCTTTCCAAGCCGCGAGTAGAATTTCTTCTGTGCAACGCGGGACGGTCGTTTCGTAAAGTTTGCGGCAGTTATAAGGAACTCTCGGGCGAGAGAACGGAGGCGATTGTGAAACGACGTAATGGAGTTAGACAATCTCCGGGTGAACGATAATTTGACCCGACGGAATAAGTGCCCGAGACAACTTCGGGATTCATCGTGCTCACGAATGAACCTCTTCCTCGTCGTTTTACACGGCATCACGAACAACCACGCTCTTCCGGATTTCTATCCGTACGCTACGTTGTTTACAATACTAGCGCACATTCCTCGATTATTTACGTCTCTGAAAATTAGTCGTTTGCTGCCGGAGGAGTCGGTTCGAATTTATTCAGAGAAATGCCTCGATGGAAACTCGCACGTCCCAGCTCATGTTCATCGAGCTAAGAAGAGGAAGCGAAGGGGTTGAGAGGAAGGAAGGAAGGAAGGAAGAGAAGAGGAAAGATGAAAGAACAGAGAGAGAGAGAGAGAGAGAGAGAGAGAGAGAGAGAGAGAGAGAGAGAAGGAAGGATTGTAGAATCTCCTGACACAAGGTAACATAGGCAACGAACCGTCATCCCGTGTCAAGAAACAACAATAACAAAGATGGTTTACAAATCTCCAAGCGGCAAAATCAAATATATTCTCTGTAATTACGATATCAATTAAGAAATAGCAATTAGATACTCGGAGAATGTTGGAAAGTTTTTCGAAAATTGATTTATATTTACGTTTTTTCTTATATTAACAATCACATGTACATAAAATATTAATAATTACTGACTGTGTAAAAACAGTTTAAAATTTTATCATAACAAACGAGAGAACTGTTACGCGCTCACGTATAGTCGGATGATAACAATTTCAAGTGTTAACATAAAAGCACTATCTATATCTAAAGAGATAAGTGCGACTTAAAATGGAACTTATTACATTTTCTCGATAAATGCCCATTTTCTCCGTAAATGTCGTCGTCAATGCCGCGGAAAAGTATGAAAATCTGGAGGTAACAGTAAATTTCGCGGAATCTTGTCGAATGACGATAAGTAAAATGCAGATTCTGACCGTGTCTCACTCTGGGAAAACTGACGCCCAGATCGAAGACCGAAGGGAAAGCGAATAATAGAAACGCTCGAGTCATTTGCGAAAACGATGCATTGAAGAGGAACTGCTACTTCGCAAAGATCGGAGAAACGGGGGAATCAAGCCGCACTACGTGAACGGAAAAGATTATCGATATTGTGCGAGAGAAATCTCGTCCGGAGATTGTTACAGCTTAATCCGTTCAAAGAGAAATCAGTCGCAGACTGTTACGCGCGACGGAGGTCGCATAAAGATTGTCCTTTATTTACGTTTAAAGAAGAAAAAAGAAATCGATTAAATTATACCGAGTTCAAGACTTGAATAGAATAAAGTGGATTGTGTTTGTAAAGCTCTAAAAATGAATGTGTAAAAATACAATTGTAATATTATGAGAAAACAAAAAGAAAGTTGGAGAAATTACGCTTGCTTGTTTGCGAAATTCAGTGAAGAAAAAAATGCATGTACCTATAGTGACGGAGAAGATGGATGGAGGAAGTGTGTTATAACGTTGACGTTCGACCCAATTATTCGGACATTGTCCAAAGTCCACTATCTCTCGGAGTAACGAGACGTGGAGAACTTGTGTGTAACTTGAATCGAAATAGCTGAGGCGATATTCTATGGCGCTTATATCGAACAAAGATGTGTGCGCTATAACAACTGAAACTTAGATTCGAACATCATTTGGGAAAACGGTTTCCCGCTCGCCGAGTGTTTGTCTATCGTTTTCCACCTAGAGAGAGTGTGGAAACTATGTAATTAATTTCATACAACTTCATACAAACACAATTAATGTGTCAAATTGTGTGATTATGGATGAAAAAAACAACAACGTAACATTTGCACACATTTGGGATATTCTTTTATTGTTACGAGGCAAACAGCAATAATTTCATCGTTAAATCAGTCAAAAAGACTTTTTGTATAATAAAAAACATTGAAAGGAAAAAGTAAAGTATGCGAATAAGTACGTGAATTGAGTTGTTTGTAAGCGCCGAGGGAGTCATATTGAAGAAAGAAAGAGAAAAAAGACCGGATACGAACCTGTTGAGGCGCCAGATGGATGGAGAGGCTACTTATGATGGTGACTTCCAGCTCGACTCGCTCGGAGCCGGCGGTATTGTTCGCGTGGCAGACGTATCTGCCGGCATCTTCGACCCGGGCCGATTGCAGAACCAGCACGCCGTCGCGCGCGTGTATCCTCTCCGAATTGAAGACTATCGTCGTGCCAGACACGGACTCGCGAAACCAGAGATAAGTGGGCGGTGGAATGCCTTGTGAGATGCACGACAACACGATTGTCTCGCCGGTACGAATCGGCCCGGGATTCACTCGTTCGTTGAACCGCGGTGGCGTCGGATTTCGATGTTCTGAAACGGAAAAAGAACAGTCCCGGAATTAGAAAAAGTTTCAAATCTTACAATGTTCTTACATTCACCCACCACATACAGTCACTTTGTTAGAAAAATTATGTGCGCACCAAAAAGGATTTATATTTGTTTCCCTTTAAATTACGGATCAAATTTTAAAAGTTAAACTTAGATGAGCGCGTGTGGTTCGAAATAATTAACTGCATAAAAATGTCACCGTTAATTTATGCATCTGCTTGTGTAATGTAACCACTAAAGATTTCGTAATACTAATGAATAATTGAGATGTGTGTTTTATATGTTTATATAAAGTCTATTTTTTCGTTATATTTAAATACATGTAATTAAATTTCACATACACGAACGAGGTAAACTAATTTAGATTGCAGATACATGTGCGCGGTAATATTAATAATGCAGAGAAATTTCAGAAATATCCGATTATCGACCGTATTCATTATTAATGCATGTACAATATGTTAACCAATGCGTGTAGTTGCCTAACGAAATTTAACGCATGTAAATTATTATTGCTTCATATGCATCACTATATATAAATTAATAAATTAGTAGTCAACAAACGCGTGTTGTGTTTCGTATCTTAGAACGACCGTTCTGCGAGAACACGTTTTTCCTATCGATTTCGGTCTAGACGATCTCTCTGCGGGATATTTTGCGATAACCGTCTCCGCACAAGAAATCGTTAAGAAAGAAATATCTGCGCAGTTGGCCAGACAAACAAAGGTTTCGTGTTAACTTCTTAATGTACACAACATAAAAATCGCGAAACATTGTTTCGTACTATTCTGGCGTCTAAACTTTGCTTAAAGCTGCACAATTGATATATTTTTGTCAGATCTGTAATATTATTAATTTTGATCCACTCTAATGTTATTTTAACACATCGACACTTCTTATTAAGTCAAATTTCTATCTTGACGTTGTCAAGAAAGACATTTTATCGATACGATGACAACGAATTTAAAACATCTTGAATGATTAAAACTCTGATTAAAATAGAAGCAAATAGAGTTTTGAATTAAAATACTACGATTTTGTCAAAAGCAAATTATCATTCGCATTTTCTTTCGATTGCGATTTTATTCTGACTGTGATGCACGCAGTTTAATAAACCCGCGATACAGTCGATAAATGGAAATCCAGCGCGCTAAAAAAATATGAGAAGAAGAAGAGACACATCGAAACGAATATAAATCTCTGTTTTAGGTGGCAACAGCATGCGCCTGTCGTACGCGCGAAATCCGCGTGTAAATTTCAGAGAGCGCACTGTTTTATCGCAGCTAATAGAATCAATAAACCGAGCTGCTCCGTCACGTCGATGAAAACGTCGGAAACAATTCTATCCTGCCGCGAAGGGGTTGAACGGAGAGAAGGGAGATAAAATTTACCGACCCGTCCCGGACGAGAAGCAACGACGACGACGACGAGCGTCCAATTTCTCGACGTTCTCGGTGAGAACGCGAAGGAGATAGGCAAGAGGATTGGTGAGAGATCCCACCGAACGTTTTATTTCTCCTTTTAGCAACAATAAAGTATTCCTCCTTCCTCTCCCATCATTTTCCGTATCTCGACGAAGGTATTTGTTTCTGGACCGTCTCGGACAGTGCGACAACGACGCGGCCTTTTACCGACCGCGCTATTTTATAATGGCGCTTTGTCTGGTCGGCGTTATTATTGTAATTTAGCTGATGGCGTATTGATCGTCGCGACGCCTCTATCTCGCTTTCTCTCTCACTCTCGCGCAACTCGCTTTGCTCCATCTTGTACTCCCCTATCTTTCTCCCTCTCGTTCTCTTTAGTGCACACCCTCTCAACTCCGACGTCCTTTTCCTTCTCTCCTATACGTAGCTCTCCACTTTCTCTTCTCTTTCTCTCTCTTTCTCTCTCTCTCCTCTCTGTAGCACTGTGCAATTCCAGTTACCATATTCCAGCACAACGCCACACCACACCCTTGTCTTCATTCGGCGCACTGTCGTGTAGTGCATATGCTCACGTCGAAAAGTTTTTTACGCCATTTGCATTCCCAGACTTACGTCTCGACGTCAACGTCGCTGTCGATGTCGTTCGTCGTCATCGTCATTGAATTTGAATAAGCAAAAAACTACGGTTTCTCTGAAAACAAATCGCAACTGCGTCCTGCTGCCGATGAAAGGATTATTGACAAATCGTTTTGAGAATGACTCGTGGAAATATTATTAGTAAATTGAATATTGTAATTTTTAGCGTATTATCTTTATAGTTTAAATTATAATATTTTGTTGCGCGCGTACACAATTGCAAACAAATGATTTTGAAAGGTTTGACGAGAGTGTAAATACGCAGAGAAGTTGCAATATAAATATTGCAATATTAATGTATTTCGTACATTGTTAATGGTTTTCGCCAATTTTCCCGATTGTCATCGTTGAAAATGTTTAATTAATGAATTCTCAGCGTGACGGAAAAAGTTTCAAAAAACAACTTTTTTGTCGCGTACGTCAATATCCGGCAATCTTTTGTCGCGTCACGTGCACGTGTCTTACGGCTTCAATGTTCCCGGTTGACGTAGAAGCAAAAAGAATGCTGTCGCAACACGATTCGGCAATTTTAAAAGCGAATTTTGTACCAAACTGCATCGCGCCAAAGTTTATCAAACTTCTAGTTTTAGGCAAAGAAACTATGTATGCTTCTATCCGAAAATACAAGGATCTTTCTTTTTCAGGAAGCAAATTTATGTATATAAAAATTATAAACATTTATATATATA